AGGGAGGGAGGGAGGAGGAGGAGAGAGAGAGAGAGAGAGAGAGGGAGAGGAGGAGGAGGACGAGGGAGGGAGGGTGGAACGAGACAAGAGGAAGTAAGAGAGAGTCAGTTCTAGAGACTCGGGTATGCTTACATTGATCCCAACGTCGTATGAGTGGATTCTTCCAGGGAGAATGGGTGCGTAGATACTGAAGCGATCCTCGGATGGAACTGCCAAAAGAGTTTGAGGAGAGGGGGAGGGAGGGCAGGTGGTTGGAGGAGCTGACAAGAGGATCGACTAGAGGGAGGCAAGAAGGAAGGAGGGAGAGGGGAGCAGAAGGGGGACGAGGAGGAAGAGAGTTGAGAATGCACATCACACCTTCATCGGTGTCTTTCCCATCGTTGAGATATTTTGCAACCTCGTAGTAAACTTCCTTCTTCTGTTTCACGCAACAGTCATTCCCTTCCCTCCTCTCCCTCCTCTCCCTCCTCCTCTCCCTCCCTCTTTCCCATTCTCCCCTTCTTCCTCCTCTCCTCTCTCCCCTCCCTTCCCTCTCGCCTCCCCTCCTGTCCCACCTCTGTCGTATTGAACGAGGGCGGTGCGCGGACAGGGAGCGAAGGAAATCTCTGCTGTGCATTTCTGAGGGCCTTGTCTATGGGCAGGTCGCCTGGCAGCCATGTCATCCTCGACTAGAGCAGCTCTGACATACCATAGCTGTCCCTCCAGTTCTTGTCCACTCCCAGCTTCACCAGCAGCTTCACCTATCCTCTCCTCGTCAGATCTGCTCCTGCTCCTGCTCCTGCTCCTGCTCCTGCTCCTGCTCCTGCTCCTGCTCCTGCTCCTGCTCCTGAATCTCATGTTCCTGTGCCTGTTCCTTCTCCTCCTTCTCTTTCTCCTGTTCCTCCTGGCATGCGCCCTCACCATCTCCAGGTGTCCGCTCCCTGCCGCGAAGTGCAGCGCTGACCATCCAGTGTGGGTTGTCTTATTGACCTGCGGGGTGTGAGGGGAGCAGAGCGACAAGTTGCAAGACGTCAGCTCCGTAGGACACCAATAGCTTGACTACTTCCGTCCACCTGCTCATTGAGCGCGTCAGGGGAGAAGGAGACGTCGAGCGAAGGATGGAGGAAGGGAGCAAGGAAGGGAGGGGGGACAAAGAAGAAGGAGGGAACGGGAGAGGAAAAGAGGGAGGGGAGGGAGGCGAGGGAGCGAGGAAGGCAGGAAGGGAAGAAGAGTCGCTCGAAGGGTCCCGGTATCCCCACCCTTCTGAAGCTGCTTCATGCAATGGCGTCCAACCATTGTCCGTCGCAACATTCGGATCGCCTCCCATACTCAGCATCTTCTCCAAGGTCTCCGTGTCATTCTGCCAGCTGTCAGTTCCTCCTCCTCCTCCTCCTCCTCTCCCCTCCACCCATTTTCCTTCCCCTTCCTTTCCCCTTCTCCTTCCCGCTCCTTCTCCCTCCCTCTCCTTGCATCTCAGCGCTCACCAGCACTGCTGCTCTATGTATCCCCGTCCATCCCCACTTCCCGATGTAGGGATCTGCATTGATCGCGTCCAGCTTCGCATCCTGTCAGCCAACGTCTGGCGCCTCCATCACACCAACCTTGGTAGGCTTGAGCATGTGCTCGTTCTCCGGGACCGTCATGCCGTACTTAGCTAAGAGTCAGGAGCGATGCAGAGCTTGAGCAAGAGGACGAGACTTAGGAGCTCTGAGGGAGCAAGGAGGAGGGGAGGAAGCAGGAAGTGGAGGAAGCACTGAGAGGAGGGAGGGGGCTGAGGGCAACGGTACGAGGTGCATCTTAAAGTCTCACCCTTTCATATGGAAGATGATCCAACGAGACCTCGGACTCGAACGACGATTCTGCTATGGCGTGAACGCGAGGTAGGCATGAAGATATCGTTCGTTTCCTACCCGCTGACATCGACGACGAGTCCGATCCTCCTCGCAGGAACATGTTGGGAAGGACCTGTAGGGGCATGAGAAACATTCGTGGTCTACCGGCCATCACCATGCTCTTGATCGCTGCCACGTGACCATACGCTTGATGGCGCGGCGACGTCCCAACCCCTTGCACAACAAACAACTCACAACATTGCCCGCCTGCTCCTGCTCCTCTCCCTCCCTCCACGCATGCATAAGTGCCTAAGCTAGTCATCTCTCCTTCTCCTCCTCCTCCTCCCTCCCCCCCCTCCCTCCTCCTCCTCCTCCTCCTCCTCCTCCTCCGTTACCTGCCATGATTGCGGCAACCACCAACCAAACTGACCATCTTGAAGCCATGTTTCCCTCCTTGGCAACTACCCCTAACAGCCATTGCAATCACCCCTACCCCCATTTTCCAAGTACCTTGCTTTACTCAAACCGGTGATCAAGGTACCCACTACCCTCTTTATTCCTACTGAGATCCGTCCGCATGCTCGTTCCCGTGTTCTTGCTCCTCCTCTACCTCCCTAGTCTACACGCGCTTTCTCCTCCTCCTCCTCCTCCTTCCTCCTCCTCCTTGTACCAGTCACAGACCAACCCCATGCACGACCAGGCTGCTCGTTGCGCTCCCACCGCCATGGTCACTTCTGAAGCTTCGCAAGAAGCGCTTAGTGTCCCTGAGTCTGCTCCTCCGCTCTCCTCTTCCTCCTCTTCGTCCTCTCCGCCTCCGACTAGCTCCCCGCTCAAGCAGCTCAAGCACACATCTGTCAGGCCCTTCCCTCGTCTCGCGTCCATCTCCAAGAGGACGAGGCCCTTTCCTCGCAAGCTCCTAGTGCTGGTGCAGGAAGAAATCGAGCGCTTGCTCCTCCTACCCAGGTCCTCAGGTTCAGGCCATGTGCTGCTGTTCTCTCATCTGACTAACACGTCTTTCTACCTCGATTGCTTCATGGTAGCATACGCGCGACATCGGCTCAAGATCGCGCGCAAGGCGAAGACGATGTTGGTAGAGCCGCAGGCGCATGGAGGGCTGAAAATGCTGCAGGCTGGAGGCAAGAGGGAGGAGCACATGGCGTGAGAGCATGAGGACTCGTCGAGAGCTCGAGCTCGAGCAGTCTTTGTGGGGGTTTGGAGTGAGTGGGCCGAGCTAACAGACTGACAGGCGGGAGCTGGGGCTCAGCTGAGAAGGAGGTGGCAGTGCCCTCAAGTTTATTTCATAGAGGAGGAGAGCGTCTGCCAAGGAGGAGCTCTAGGCTGCTCGCCGCAACTCTGAGGAGGTCAAGGGCTGCTGGAGGTAGAGCGTCGCATGCGCCTGTACTCCTCCCATCCTTTGTACGCTTGTCCTCCATGCACAAGCTGTATGCCCTGCGATCGTTCCTTGCTGCGATCTCCGCTGAGCATCCTCGTCCTTATCTGCTTGGAAAAGTCCTTCCTCCTCCTCACCCTTGCCAACAGGTTGGATTGCAGCACGTGGAAGCGAGGAGGAGGAGGAGCAGGAGCTAGCTCCTTGATCCCCGTCGTTCGCAGCAGCCTCGTCATCAGCTGCCGCTTGTTCCTCCTCGCGTCGATGATCGCTGACTCCCACAGCCCTCCCTCGAAGGCGCTGCTCTCGTGCCACTGGAACGCGCAGACGAAGCTGTAAGCGCTCATCTCCCTGCTCTCCATCAGCCGCCTGCCGGCCAGCTCCGCCTCCAACGCCCCCATGTTCTCCTCTACCCCCAGCGCCTCCAGCCCTTGAGCAAGCTCCTGCATGGTCAGGATGTCTCCTGCAACTGAGTCAGGAGCCTCTTTCACAGCTTCCCCTCTACCTCGTCGCTGCTTCATAACCACGTACGCCTCCGCTACATTCGTGAAGATCTTGGCAAAGAAACGTTTGATCCGATCCACACAGCCTTCTTTCCTCTCTCCCCGCAGGGAGATGCTTGACCGCCTCCTCGCGCTCTCCTTCCCCACCACCTGCTGGTACTGCAGAGGCCCCTCCTCGGCGCGCAGGTACTCTACTACCCCCTTCCTGGAGCATTCGATCTCCTCCCCTGATACCTCCATCCCCGACAGCAGCACCGTCCCCTCCCTCTCGCAGACGATCCCTCGCCCATTCTTTTCCAACGTGCTTCCTACCAGCTCCACCGTCGTCTCTGCCGCTGTCACTGACACAGCCGCCGCCATCGATCGCTCGATCCTCGTCCCCTCCACGAGCACCGACGCTCGCTGGCTCGCGCTGATCCCACATTTGACGGACCCACTGATCGCTCCTCCTCGCACCTCGACCCTCGTCTGTGCTCCCAGTGCCGTGATGCCGTTGCGTTGGGAGGAGGACAAGGTACAGTCCTTCAGCTCGCACCTGCTCCCTGCCTCTGCCTGCACCCCGTTGTTCTCGCTGAAGAGGAAGCGGCAGTCAGAGAGGAGGCAGGAGGTGCGAGCATGGCGGGAGGTGACAGCAGCTGAGTCGTTCTCTCGCCCGCAGTAGTGGAAGCTGCAGCCATGGCAGGTCAGCGACGAGCCCAGCATGACAAGCACGCCATGCATCGCGTTTGCAAGCTCGCAGTCTTCCATGGTCAGCTCGCTGCCTCCCGTCACCTCCACCGCGTTGGCTCGCACCCATCGGTCCGACAGCTTGTGGGCCTGCAGCTCGAGCTCGTCGAGGTCGATCCCCAGCACCTGCTGCTTGTTGCCCAGCACGCAGAGGTCTCTGAGGACGAGCTTGAATTCGTTCCAGTTCATCTCGTTGCGATCCTTGTCCGACAGCGCGTCTGAGTTTGCCCGCTGGAAGGCAGAGGAGAGAGTTGTCTTGTCCAGCTCGACCTCGAGCGACTTCATCATGGCGAGAAACTCTGAGAAGTCAAGAGTGACGCTCCTCTTCCCCATCCCGCTCAGCCGGTTCCCGCTGGTGAACTTGGTCTCGCAAAAGTGCAGGAAGAGCTGGTACAGCGGGCCCAGCCGGTCAGGAACCTCGTCAAGGGGGTTCACCATCACGTGCGATCGCCTCATACTGCACTTGCTCCTCTTCTCCAGCACGACCCCAGCACGACCGCACTGGAAGAACAAGGTCTGCTCCATGGTGATCAGGGCGGAAGAGCTGATAAGTCCGACCCCAAACACACTCGTCACGCTGGCCCTGGTTAGCTGGAGCGAGCAGCTGGGCCCTACCGCGATGCACGTGGGGACTTCGACTGTCTCGTTCCCCACCTGCTTCACCCGCACGTCTTGCAGGGTGAGCTTTACTGCCCTCCCGTCCTTGCTCTCCATCACCTCCAGCGCAGTCCTACCAAGGGCAATCCTGACCTCAGCTCCTCTCCTCTCCCCATCCGCCCGGATTGTGAGATTCTTTGTGATCTTGATAGTGTTTGACACCTCGTACCTCTTGCACTGGACAACAATCGCATCGTCCCATCCTGTCTCCTCCACAGCTCTCTCAAGACTGTTGAAGCCAACTTCTCCGTTCACTGCGTCAACCACCAAAAAGTTGCAACTTGCCAGCCTCTCCGACAGTCTTGCTGCCTCCTTCTGCCTTCTCTTCTGCTCCTCCTCCCGCAACTGTGCGACGTTGCCGGAGTACCGTTTGCCGATGCATCTTTGAAGTTCTTCGTCGTCAACAAACAGCACCTCTTCTTCTGGGGGAAGCCTCAACAGCGAGAGCAACGATTCCTTCAGACTCTTCAGCCTTTGTTCGTCACCGTCTCCAATCACCGTCTGCAGACTTGTTAGGTGCAGTCTCTTTCCAGCACTGATCGCAGCAAACGTCCTTTCTATCAAATCACTCCCGTGTTTCATCTCCAACATCTCAATCGTCTTCATGTAAAGATCCTCCAAACTGTCTGGCAAACTCTCTATCGCGTCCTCACTTAGCTCGAAGCATCCGAAGCATCTGATGATATCAGCAGCAGCCCTGAGGTACAACGCTCGCCCAGCCTCGTTCTTTCCTGTCAGACTCTCGAGGTGCCTGGCAGCAACCAGCTTGTCTTTCAGCAGGTACTCCACCAACCCTCCCCGCGCCTCCTTCTGCAGAGGTTTCAGCGCAATAGTGCGCAGGAGCACACCGTAGCCGAAGATCTTCAGCTCTTTCCCGCTGGCTACGAACCGAACGAGCCCGTCCTTGCTCAGCGGGTACTTCCATGGTTGCAGCTCCCCTCTCAGCATCCTTAGCGTCATGTTGAATAGACGGTTCTCTGTCCTGCTGCAGTTGTCAACGATGACGTACACGCGCGTGTCCGTTGCGAGCAAAGCAAGAATGATCCTCCTGAGGAGCATCGCAATCGACCTCCACGACCCCTCCTCGCACGCCTCTCCCACCATCTCCATGATCCCCTCCCTTGTGAACAACCCGGACCCGAGCTGCATGCTGAGGTGCAGCAAGATGTCGGAGAAGGAGTGGTAGCTCTTTCTGAAGAAGAAGACCATCCTTGTCCGGTGCTTCCCTTGCTCGCATACCCTCCTCACCCGCTCAATACAGAACGCCAGCTCTGTAGAGCATCCTCCTCCCGCCACCTGCGCAGAATAAGGAGGAGGAGGAGGAGGAGGAGAAGGAGGTAGTGATGGTGATGGTATGGTGGTGGAGGATGAGGATAAGGAGGAGGAGGAGGAGGAGGAGGAGGAGAGTTCACCTCATTTTCTGTGACAACTTCGACCAGCTCCACCCGCTTGTTCTTCCTCTCGAACGACGACAGGCTCTTCCCGAGAGCAAGCTCCTTGTCCAGCTCCTCGGATGCCCGACAGAATTTTGCATCCCCTTCATCGAGCAGGTGGTTAAGGTAAGCATCCTGCTTCCTGCCCCCAGGTCAACTCACTCACACACTGTCCGAACTCACTCTTCCATGCTCGCCAGCCGCTGCATGCTCTCCTGCAAGCACTCCTTCAGCGCTGCGAGCCCTTCATGCTGGTCCCCGGCGCAGCATCGAAGTCTCTGGCTCCCAGCGTCTTGATCTTACACTCACTCTGAGATAGAGGGAAGTGGTTTCGGACGAATTTCTTCCCCTCTGACAGAGGCAGCCATTGCATCTTGGCGCCCTCGACGTAGACAATCGATTGTGAATCCGCGCCAACTCCCAGCATAACAAAACCTTCATGCAGCAGGTGTATCCGCAGATCTCTGTTCCACGTGTTGAACATGTAGGCGTGCGAAACGTCAACTTTGATCCTCCAAGTTCTGTATCGAGCCCTTTCCGTCACTACCTCAGTCGCTCTTCTTCCTCCTCCTGCTCGTAGCTCCCGCAGCAGCTTCTCGCTCTTGAACCCTCCGACTGCGGGCCGCACACGCGCTTCTCGGGTGCAGTAGAACAACTCTCCTCCCTCCTCCAGCTGTAGGAAGAAGTGGTCAGGAGAGCTGTGGACGAACTCCATGGTGACGTGGCGGGTCGGATGGTAGAGCAGAGAGCAGTTCAGTTTCCTCCCGCAGTGCATGATCTCCCCGTCAAGGATCCTCCACTCGACAGACTCGTTGAAGCTGCGGTCGGCGCTGCTGACCCTCTTAGAAGGAGCATGAGAGGTTTGCGGGGCCCTCCTGACGTTGACGGAAGACGTCGCGGTCCTCTCGATGCTCGAGGAGACTTTGGTGTCTCCGTCCCACTCTAGAAATCTTGACGCGCCTCTCCATCCGATGTCGTCCTTGCTCCTAAATCTCTCTCTCCCCACCTCCTGACGGCCGCCCTCTGACCCCAGCCCAGCATGTCGCCGATGCAGGTCTAGCTGAAGGTTGGACTTCTGCAATGAAGCAAACAGTTCAACGCTTGTCATGACAGCAGGTCAGAGGTCAACTCACCTCGACGAGTCTCTTGAGCCAGGGGTCCTCGGGTTCAGAGGAGAAGCTGTGGATGGAGGAGAGGTCGGAGAAGTGCTTCACAAGGGTGAGCAAGGCATCTTCCATGGCATGCGCAGGTTCTTACCTCCAGGCCTTCAGTCAGGCTGGCAGACAGCTCTTCCATGCTCGCCTCAATCACTCATCCGAACCTTCAGCAACATCTGCATAGAAGACGTCAGTGAGGGTTGGCCTGCAGTTTCTCAAGATGTGAGCAAATTGAACAGATCATATAAACTATCCGCTCTCCTCTCAATCACTCTAGCTCAATCACTAGTACTGCTCTTTCCCCTTCCCTTCTTCCTCCCCCTCCCCCTCCCCCTCCCCCTCCTCGTCCTCGTCCTCGTCCTCGTCCTCCTCTACTCGCATTGCAAGGGTTCCATACATTCTAGTTCAGTCGTTTCTGTTGGAGGGACCTAACAGCTTTCTTCCCGACTGGCGGGGGCCGTCGGGACGTCCCGAGAGAGCAGAGGAGAAGAGGTGAAGTCAAGAGCAAACTTACCTGGAGCAAGATGCATGTGCTATCATCCGATGCCCATGTCTTCCTATACGTAGCCCTTTCAACAGCATTCTGCTGCCACCGCCGACGTCTCAATTCGAAAAGATTTGCTGTGCTACGATTGTTGTTGTGAGGGTGGGAGCTAGAAAGATACCGCATCTCTTTGCCGCCAGATTTTTCTAATCCATTCTGTTCGTCTTCTTCCTCGTACTGACTGAACTGATCACGATCCGTTACTTTTTGGACTTTCCTGATGGCGCCCCCTTGATACATACCTGCGTGCAATGTGTACATGCATGTCTAATGACGACATTTCAGCTTCCACATTAAAGCTATGATCATCCTTCAGAAATCTCAACTGAAAAGCGAATCAGCGTCGTTCACCATGATGTTTTGTCAAGTACTTGTCCGGATTCTGAATAGTATGAGCTGCATGAAAAGTACATTTTCAAATATCGATGATGCAACAAGATCCATTCCCACACATTAGAGTGTAAAACCGTGTTGTGAGCATTTCGAACCAGATTTTCTTCCCTTTCCTACAAAGGCTGGGATAATCAATTCGGGACATGCGGAAAATTCGACAAGAGAATTTCGGAGGTAAAGTACGTTTAGAAGACAGTTATACACATTTCTAGAGTGAAGATATCAGCCTGATCAATAGAGGTTGTTTAAAAGTCAAATGAATTCTCGAGTTTCCCTTGCACATGCTCTAAGGCCTCGTCAAAGAGAGACATATCTGCTTGCTTCAAACAATTCTGCGCTCCTTTGGTCGACGAGTACTTTCTCTTGTAAGGCCACTTGTCGAGACCGACTTTGCGGCAAACATTCTTGAGTGCAGAGAGGGATATCCCCTAGAGGAACAACAACAAGTCAGAATGCTGCGGGATCGATTCAAGTGTCCATGTACCATTTGTTGTGCAGCTTCGCACTGTGGGAGGTGGAAGAGTGAAGAGATCTGGTCCATCCCTAGTACAACTTCCTTGGGAGATTCGACTGATGATCTTCTTTTCCTTCGTGGGAGGAGGCGAACTTTCTTAGGCAAGCTTGCTATACCCTGGGTGGTCGAGGCGGAGGTGTCGACGAGCTTCCAGTCATGAAAACTAGGCAATGCTGCTCCACGCAAGACTGCAGGTCGCACTGAAACAACAATCCAGGTCAGACCAAGATTTCTTGCAGCACCAGTGCACTTACCAGGAACGAAGAAATCCATTCTCATCAATCAAGCAATGGTCCTTATTAGCGTAGCAAATTTGATCCTGACACGATTTTCTGGATGAGTTCCTGGGACAAGTTGATCGAAGAGCTTGATGGGAGGGGTGCAAGAAAGCCAGAAAAGAGATGAGCAGGAGAGAAAAGAGATGAGCAGAAGAGAAAAGAGATGAGCAGGGTGAGCTTGAGTTGGACGATGGATTAAAGGACACGAGGAGAGGAGGAGCGGTAAGGAGGAGGAGAGGAGAGGAGAGGAGGTCTGATTGCAGGGAGAGCGGAAAAAGTAGTTAAAGACCGGAGTCGGTGCGTGAGGCCAAAAAGGATTTGAAAAGAGGTCTTTTCGTTCTCCGTCCCGTTTCGATCTGTAAGCTTCTACAAGGGAAGTTTTATCAGCGATTCCAGAAGCTTCTGATAGATCGGTCAAATAAAGGCTTAACAATACCAGCAGAGGTCATCGATTTCTCTAGCGTCCCACTAACTGAAATCCAGGAACAGATGACCCTTATAATTTACCCTCTTCGGTGGATACGATAAGCACGGGGTGAATACCCGAAGGAGTATCAAGAGTTTTATATCCGACTGGTCTAGAATATCGAACTACGATCTCACAGCCCGCCTCGGTGTCTGGTTATGGGAGGCATAGGACTTCTTTACAGGTAAGAGGCGTAACAAGTCCATGGCGCGAGTGGAGAGCTGAGAGGTGTTCTGACCAAGTCCTTGCGTGTGTACAAGCATGCACCATGAGCCATGCTGGAAGAAATACGATGCCGTCTCCTGCTAGTCAAGACTGTGAGATGCGACTGCCGAATGGTTGGCATAAAGGACCTTACAGCTGACGGCATGATGCACATATACTTGTTTCCAATACACTGCTACTTGTTTCCAATACACTGCTACATGCAGTGATATCGCTTTTATTTATGCGATCGAGAGTCACGAAACAATCGCATGATTCAACATCTGACGGAACACAAGGATTTTGACTGCGGCAACTCACAGTCGGGGTACTTGGCAGAAAGCATTGTCATCAGAACCTGAACGGGATAAGACATATCTCGCCTTGGCATGGTCTACATCCATCTGCCAACGCAAAGTCAAAAGAGTTGAAAAACACGCAGTGTATGATTCGATCGAATCTCAACGAGATATGCCTAAAACGTTGCGCTGTATCTGCTTTTCTAGCCATCAATACAACACCAAGATGACATGCAATGATCCTAAGTGAAGCTTGACCACATCAAAGGCTTAGAATGTATTGGATGAAACCAACTCATCATCGTGTGGTCTTTGTAGTTGTTTGGGTCAATTTGATGTTCGTGGTGGGAATCTTCCCAGCAGTCGCATCGATGCATACGCACTAGGTTTTCATATCTACATCTGGAATCTTTATCATAGTCTTGATGTTTCATGAACTCGGCAACATCACGCTGATCGAATTAATGACTCGTAGTTGATGAAGATGATAACGCATCTGTGAAGTTTTCAGGAACGATACAAACGTCCGTGTATCAACAAGACCATCTGTTTGCGAAAGCAAAGAAATGATTTGTCACTTCTTCGTCATGTTTCAGGGAGAATCCTCTGTTTGCCATATCCTTACTCGCCATACTCTCTTCACCGTAGAGACTACTGATGTACTATCAATGCCCTTGTGTTTCGTTTTCAGTGATATTCGCACTGTTTCATCGAGATCCACAGTAAAACGACGAGGTGCATGCGTGGGGATCTCGTTCACCTACACACGTTTATCTAGACAAGTTCATCTACATGTCTGAGAACTCTAACATTCGTGAGAAGCTTGCATTTATTCAACTATGTTAGCCGTGGCCTCTTGCTGCGAAAAATCAACCGAGACTTGTAGACACACATCTTTGAAGATTCAGACGAGACCATAGAATGCATCAATGCATCACACTCAGCAATCATCGAATAATTTACAATTGGGCTTCACCATCTTCTTAGCACCATATCCGATACGCTTCCAGAAATTGTCCTGCTTCTGCAACACTTTGTTGCGGTACCTTCCGGTTGGATTTCTGGCTGGAGCAACCTTGAGGTTCAGTTTCTGACTCTGAGCAGGTCCAGCTGTCTCTGACAAAGAGATGTGCGATAGCTGGGCCCCATTCTTGATCGCCGCAGCATGCTTCCTCCTCAGTTCCTCACGGACAGTCGCCAGGTGCTCCTTCCACTTCTTCTCGCAGAAGGCATCGCATCTTCGCACAGCTCCCTTGGCATGCGCACCAACTTGCAGCAGAGCGGATGTCTCTGACTTCTTGAAACTAATGATCCTAACCAGCATCAACCATGACAGCGCCATCGCCATCCCTACCATGTACCATCGCTTGACCATGTCGAAGCGCCACTTTGGAGTCTGTTATAATAGTCGTTATTTTTCTAAGTTCCGTTCCCGGGCTACTCGGCGCCGCGGCGCGCCACCGTGCCACCGTCCGGCCCGGCCCGGCGGCCCGCCCGGCACTGGCCGCCGCCGGGCCATGCCATGATGGCGAGTCACCCCGTTCGCTTATAGCCTAAACCCCGCTGAGTCGGCGCCGTCGGACCGGCGCACCGTGGGCCGGCGGGGCCGCGGCCACTGAGGGCCGGCCAGGCGCAACTCCGATCGACTCCGGCAACTTCATGCGGCCGCCGCGCCGCGGCCGCGGCCGCGGGCCTGTCGCCACTCCGCTCCGACAGCCGTCCGGGTACGGTCCGGCGGCCGCCGCGCGGGCCGGCCGGACCGTCGTACCGGCGACTCGCCGGACCGTGGCTCCGGACGGGAGTCAGAAGGCTTTCAGGCCCATCGCCCGGTCCGAATCATGCCCAGTGCGGCGGCCTCGCTGAGCGGCACCGTCACGGCCGGGGGCCGGCCACCGGCGGGGGCGTTGCCACCGGATCGGCGCCGTACGCCGACCGTGTACGGCGGCCCACCCGGTACCGGCGTAGTAGCCGGGCCTTGCATGAGGCATTTATCACACAGATGGTAACGGCGTGACGGTCATCTGGTCACGTGGAGCGCCGCCGGTCCCACTCAGTTTTAATTGATTGAGTTTCATACTAGTACAGTTCCTGATGGCACTGAGTCAGATACAAGCTGTAGACCTGTCACAGTGTCACTGTGGTCAGAGACTGGATGGTCAGGCTAAGACTGCAGTACTGCAACTCACAGTGATTTGATAGTTGACGCAAATGGCTCGACACACATCTTGGCCAGGACGAGCGGTATGATGACCTGTACGAGTTGTGCGGCAACGAAGCCGTCAGTTGTAGCAGATCCCGCAAGACGATCTTACAGGAGCCCCTGCGATGAAGCCCGCGATCAGGATAGTCAAAGTCTGTGCCCGGTTCTCTCTCTCCGAGTATCTGTAGGAAGTGGGTAAGGTCCAAATAAGGGTGCACAGCAAGGATAGTTGAAAACCTGGTTGCATCCGTGGACCTTGCTGTCCTCGCCTCCAGCCACGCCTTGTCGTACGATCTCCTCAGCTTCTCATCACCGATGACTTCGTATCTTAACAGAAGAGAACGGTCACGACTAGCATCAACATTGACAAGCTCTGTAATACGCGTTCGAGATCTCAGAAAATTTCTGGGCTGCAGCCAAGTCGTCTCCTGCAACATCTGGATGATAAAGGTTGACCAATGTATCGTAGGCGTTCCTGGACACAGTGGTTAGAGCATACGTCACACCCCAGCATACATGGCAAATTTACCTGATCTCTGACGCATCGGCATTCCTGTTGACTCCCAACACTTTATAGGGATCGGAAGATACCAGCCTCTTCTTCTCCTGCATTCTGAGCATGCTGATGCCCCCCCCGCTTCCTAGGCGCCTGACACTCCCTGCTCTCAGACGACAAGCATCGAAACCAAGAGAGCAGGGGGAGGCGAGGAATGCGTGTGCGGTTCGAACAACCATTGCCATCGCGCTCAGCAGGATCACCGTCCCCCTCATGATGGAGCGCCCATTCAAACCACCTACCCCTATTCATACCCTCTACTACCCTACCTGTATAGGATCCAGCAAAGCCAAGGACTACTCGTACTGATTTTTACCTGAACTTTGAGTAAACTTTCGGAGACTACTGGCCCGACTCTACAAATGAGTATTGTGGTGAATCATTCAAGAGATTTTTTGTGAGAAGAGCAGCTCAGCGGCTGAGCTTCTTGTCTGCTGCTCAACTTGCTTCAAACTCCCTGCTGATCTGCAGCAGAGTTTGACTCCCTCCCGCGGCCTCTTTGCGCCCCCTTCCAATCAGCATGAACTTCCGAACCCTGGATCACCGACTCAGTCAAGCGGCTGATCTAGAGTACGGTCTCTCAGGGACTTTCTCTTACTGGGGTATCCCCTCGTTCTCTTGCCACTGTTCAGTTGCAACACACTGTAGTTGGTGTTCTCAGTCATTAACCTTCCCTTCTGCTCCACACGCAAATGTTTATTTGTTTTTCAGTTTGCATTCGTATATGTTTCTTCGAACTAGGAAAGAACCTGCAGTTTGGCAAGACAAAAGCTTATCAGCTTGAAGGGTGAAGCACAGAGAGAAAATTAGTGAGAAACTTTCAGCATCTGCGGCCAGCCCTCGATGCCTGCTGGTCTCGTTCCCACCAGCAGCAAGCTGCGGTAGAAGTTGTTCTCTGCGTTCAACGCAGCCAGTCGCGAAGTCCAGACGACGCCCATGGAGAGGCTGTGCTTGTCCTCGTTTGCTGAGTCACAGGAGCCACTCGGGCTACCTTCGGCCTTGTCTTCCTCAGCATCTTCTCTCATCGACATCTTGGTCTTTGAGTTTCTCTTCGCCTCCATCTGGTTGCTACCATCGGCGCGTTGTCCAGACAGTCTGAAGGAAACAGACATACTGGAACACCGAGTAAGAAACACGTTCTATGATCGCACGTTTCTTACCTGCTGGCGGTCTTAGTCTGAAGAAGGAGTTCGCGTTCAAAGTTTTGCAGATGGTTGACATCCGATTGGACTATAAAATCTAGAAGGCTGACAACGTTTTGCTTCTCCTCGTCCTTTTCAAGTCCAAGCAGATCACGAAAACCTTCGTTAATATGCCTGAAATTCAGCGTCAATTCTTCATCGAGATCTACAACAAAATAGGGAAGAACAACATGCGTAATCCAGCAGCCGCAAAGGGATCAACGAGCGGACATGTAAACAAAGTTTGCCATAAATACATCTGCTCATCGACAGAATCGAACATACAGACATGAGTTGGCTGGTGCAATACTCCTTTACCGTATTCTCCATGTAGGCAATTCCAAAAGAACGCATAATAGCGTGTTGCTTGCCAGCAAGCCTGTCCTTGCATTAAACTACACAAACGACTCACAATCTTGGAGAGCTAAACCTGACACAATGTCTTCTTTGGAAACTTTGACATCATTGCCATGCTCCTTAGCTTTTTTGTGATCCGGAGAGCCTGCACCCTGTCGTTCTAAACCATCGTGCTTCATCAGCCTCAAAAAGTCGGCGGTATCCTTCAAGACAGTGAGTTGCGAGCGTCCTGACTCTCCCAGAGCCCTGGTCCCAACCCCTTTGACCTGTTCGGATTTGGCTGGAAGCACAAATAGTCAAACTCTATCCGCACTCGCCATCATACTGCAAACTTTCATACCTGCAGGAGGGATCAAGGCGTCTAGGGATTTCACGAGGTCTCGTTCTTTCTGCCTTCTTGCCGTTCGTCGCTGAGCCCGTGTTGGCTTGTCATCTCCGTCCAACCCTGAGTCCCACACCTCCGAGCCATCGTTGCCAGACGCAGCTCTTCTTGGACGTTTTGTCTCCGACGTGCTGGTCCTCGTGGACGAGGTCGACTGAGTCCGAAGAGCAAACACGTTTGAATCGAAACTGAGAGGTTGCTGGGGATGAAAGAGGACGCTTGGCGCACTCGGAATTCTTTCTAGAGGATCAAAAACCCACTGTGGTTGTGCTGAAGAGGTTGACCTGCTGGCAGGACTGCTTTCGGGCTGCTGGGGTATATCAGGTCTCCTACCTTCGTCTCTGCTTCCCATGATCAAGGTTCTGAAGTACCTCTCAATGTCGATATGCTCTGGGTCATCCTCTATGGAGTGAGCGTCGCTGCCCCCGCGATATATCATCCCATTTAACGCTGCCGCTTCATCGTCAAACTTGTTGAATTGTTGGTCCGGGGATTCTATCTTTTTCATGATGTTGTCTTCGATCATATCTCTGTATTCTCTGCTAACTTGTCGTGGTGGCACATCAAAAAATCTGCAAACGAAACAATTCAAATGGCAGCACACGAGTATGCAGTAGATTAGAAGACAGAAAGGAGGGAAAGGGGAGGGAGGCGCAAGGGGAGCGAAGGCCCTAAGATGCCTCCTCAATCAGTCACAGTTTCTGCCTCCTCCTCGTCATACATAACCCCGGGCACCCCCCATTCCCATGGCGCAAGTTTATCCAGCATGAAAGGGCATGCCACACCCATTTATACAATCTGGGCTGAGCAGAGGAGGATGGGCAGGAGGAATCGTTCACCGTCATCTTACCATTGCGCGGCTCCTTGCAATTTCACTTCTGCCATCACCAGCTCTCACTTCCTCCGCTGGTTGGCTTTCAATCGCAAAAAAGGTTGTAAATATAGTACCCAAAATCTACTATTCCATTTCATTTCTACCAAATTTACATAATACAAACTTATTATTTCATTAAGTGGAATAGATTTTCTTTAGCCACATGCCAACATGTCTAAAATGCAATTTAGCACTCCTAAAACTTTGTTAAATATTGGAAAACATATGTTTGGTATGTGTGATACCGGCAGGGGTAGGGGTGCTTTGGACTTGCGGTCAATCAGCACCCATCGAGACTAGGCCACGCAAGTAAGACTGCAATTGATAAATGTCTGACCCTCAGGCCTGGTTGTCGATGGTTCCAAGGGGTCACCAAATTGCTCTTTCTGAGCTGATGGTTACCCAGGGGTTGGGATTTGGGTAGTTTGGGGGTACTTTTCACCGGTTCAATTTCCAGATAAAATACGGGTCATAAAAGTTTCTATCGTACATATGGGGGTAGGGGTAAATCTCAGATGACAAGCTCGAACTGTACTGAATGATTTTAAATTTCTGAAAACACTTCTCTTGAGGAAGATTGCTCCATGATCGGTTGTCACCATCATCCCATTTCTCCAAAGGTCATCGCTTCAGCATCTTGTATAGAACTTTCGAAGGGAAAGTACGCAAACTTCTTCTCTCAAAGGTTCGTACCACGTTACCACGTCCAGAGAGGCGCATATGGGATTGGGCGATCCTTCTAACCTCTCCACCACATGGTAACTTTCAATTGTTCCTCAAAATTTGGAAATACAGAGAAAAAAGAGTTGAACTCTATTGGACCATTTGAAATATGGAGGTTGAGGTCACAGACAACCTTACACTAGAACGAGGAGTAATCAAACATTTCTGCCTTTTTCGCTACCTATCCCTCTAGCTTGTCTACCCGGAGCAGCCCAGTTCTCCAACGACGTACATATGGATTAGTACCCCTACTTTGACTCATTTAAGTACCCATCGTACTCACCTGCACAGACATACTTGGAATATTCCGGTCGAGGCGCGCTCGGAAGTGCGAAATTATCGGACATGCAGTCGTGGGCGGCGCAGGATCTACGATGGTCGACAAAGATCTACAAGACGCTAGGAGGAGAGGTGAAATGTGTGCGATGTGAGAAGACCGATATGGTATAGATGTCTGTGATATGACATGTGTGTGGTTTGACGTGTGTTCGATTTGAGCAATGAGATCCATCAGAGCAAGGAAAAGCAACATGATGTGGCTTATGTTTGAGGACTGTGTGATGATTCTTTGCGGGAGTTATTCGGATGGTTGTAAGACTAGGACAATGGTTATGAATCGACGTGCCGGGGGATCAATGTTGTCTCGAAATGGCATGAGCCTTGGGCAGAGGTGGGCAGATGTGGAATTGGATAATGATCAACAGCAGAACTAAACGTATTGCAGTCTTCATGTTGATTAGTGGAGGCGATACCTGTTGTGATGGATAATGATTCTAGGACGCAGGGGAAGGAGAGATGGAGATTCTGGTGCTGGGAGTTTGTCTCTCTATCAGGAGACGGGGTATTTTGGTTCATCCTGCTACCGGCTGTCTCGTACATGTGAGTGCAAAGCGAGTTGTACACAAGTTGTGTGAGACGAGTGCAGGCGGGGTGAGGTAAAGGCCATGAATGAGCTCCTCACCTCCACGGTCTCTGTCTGTCTGGTCTACCTTGGATCCTCCCGATGGCTGCAGACTAACATGATGGCAGGCTGCGGACCTCGCAACCATAGCGACGCTGAAGATGCTGGTTAAGCGGAAACGACCTCCCCACCACAAGACAGACTCAAGATTCGTGGGACCAGACAAGTGCACTTGATGGTCGATGTTTCCCTGCTCACTGCTTGACGAAGGCATTCTTTCCCCTCCGGGCATGCGACGAGGACGTGGGCGCTTGCAAGGATTTTGCTCCCCCATTACAAGTATGTCAGAGATTTGCCCTTGCAACCGTCGCTCTCCCCTGACACGGAGCGCGCGAGCAGCGTGCTGTATCTCTCTGGATGGGCAAGTTTGGTAGGACTGAGCAGGATCTCGCTGGGAAGACACTATGTCAGCCTGAGGTAGAATGGGGCGAGTCTGATCCTACGGCAGGTATCCGACGTGATTGCTGGAGGGTTGATAGGATGGTTTGGAATAGCCGCAGCAGCCACAAGCATCCACCATCGACTGTTCTCTTCTTGAGATCTCTTGCCTGCAAACCATTTCTTGCGATCTTGCGTGTACTCTACATTATCTCACAGACTTTGTCCTATTACTGGAAAGAAACGCGGAATAAAGCCAGAACAATACCTGGAGCTCAGTATTTCAGCATGTGTCACTAAGACGCTTCCTCTTCAAACTTACCGCCCATGTTAGCCAGCCGCTAACCGCTGCCATGGTGAGCTTGCCGCTCCCCGTATACTGCAACATTAGATCATGAAAATGTTTTTCAGGCACGAAGGAAAAAGAGTGTATGCAAAGGGAGGACGAGAGTTAGAGGAGACCAGGGCAAGACGGAGAAGAGAGACAATAAAACAAGACAGGAGTGTTGAGACAGACAAAAAGAAGAATGAAGTCAGGGACGATGCATGTTTGAAATAACACAGGGAAACAGCACACAGCGAGAGAAACACAACGCATCACCTGCCAGGCAGCTCCTGCCGCGACGGGGCTAATCACATCCCCGAGAACATGAATCATGATGTTGGCCACAGCCTGTAGAACCCTTACAACAGAGAAAGAGAAGGGGGGAAGGAGAAGAAGAGGATAAATGGTTCTTCCTGGGTTCAAAAGGATAACAGGGAGTCTCAAGTGGATTGTAACAAAAAAGGGATTTCACGTTCAGGTGACAGGAAGCAAATCATGAATCAGAAGTGGTTAGGGAAGGGAAAGCGTGCGAACAAAAGAAAGCCAAGAGAAAATAGAATAGAGGAAGAAGGGATAACACAGCCTGAAAAAGAACTGGAAAGGAAGAGGCCCGACAACACTGAGAAGTCACCATGGAAATGCTCCGATCGGCAGGAGGAACACACCACAGGAAGACCCCGTTTACAGGAGAGGTTGTGGCAAACAGCAACAGTTCCCCAAAGATCATTCCCATGTAGAACAACGACCTGCAAATGCAATTAGGACGCCCTATGACCTTGTCCCTCCTCCTCCTCCTCCTCCTCCTCCCTCTCCTCCCTTTCCTCCCTCACCACCACCACTACCACCACCGACACCACCTTCTTCTCCTCCTCTTTCTCACTCACTCACTCACTCACTCACTCACTCACTCACTCCCTCCCTCCCTCCCTCCCTCCCTCCCTCCCTCCCTCCCTCACTCACTCACTCACTCACTCACTCACTCACTCACTCACTCACTCACTCACTCACTCACTCACTCATATTAGCCCCTCACCTTGACGAGAGAAGGAAAGCTCCAACGAGAAAGGGGATGGATAGTGCAGTCAGACCTCCAACAAGCAAGAGGCTGGCAGTTGCCACATCGGAGCCCATTCGGCGGGTGAGAGTATCAAGCAGGACGCCGCCAATGGCAGTCCCAAGAAGTCCCATGCATACTGTGATCGCACCGAACTGAAGGTCAGCCAACTCCATCGGAAGGTTGAACTCCTGAAGGAGGCAGGAAGGAGGACGAGAACAAGGAGGAGGGGAAGGGTAGGAGCAGTCAGAAACTTGATCAAAACAAAGAACTAGGAGACATGGGAGAGAAGAACGAATGATGGAAACTTGGGGCATCAATGGAAACAACGACACGGGGAGAAAGCGTGCAGGAGTGAGGAGAAAAGTAGGAAAAGGGAAGACAAGCAAAGGAAGACAACATCGCAACAACCTTGTGGATAAATGTCGGGCCCCAGACCCCAAAGGCCCCGATGGTGAAAGTCCATGCGGCATATCCAAGAGCGGCAGTGAGCCACACGCTGTTGCGGAAGAGACCCGAGATGGTTCTACCGGACATGTCAGAATCATTGTCTCTAGCAAAGCTAGTCCAACTTGAGGGAGGATTTCTTTGTGGCCTTCTCCTCCGACACCTTCTCCGTGATTTTGTTCGAGACGAAGAAAGAGGAGAGAGAGAAAGGCGTCATGAGGGCAGCCAATAGCAGAAACGCGGTCCTCCAGCTTTTGAAGGGTTCAGGTTCAGAAGATGAGATGAAAACGAAGAAGCACCTCGAGAATTTTTCCATGTATCCTCCATAGATGTAGCCAAGCGCTGTGCCAACAGGAATGGCGCAGTAAAACACCGCCAATAGCACGCCTGCGCAGCGTGCATGTCAGTGCAAGGCGCCGCATTTCAAGGACAGACCTTTGCTGTTCTCTCCTGCTACATCGTCGAGGAAGGGAGGGGCGATGGCTTGGAAAGAAGCCTCACCGATGCCACTCAAGAGGCGAGCAAGGAGGAGGACGCGGAAGCTGCGGGAGTATGCCGACATCACGGCAGATATTTGCCAGACAACAAGCCCGACGCCGATCAACGTGAAGGGAGGGAACATAGTTGAGCAGAGGGCAAAGACAGGGCTGAGAAGGCAGTATCCACCCATGAACGATCCCGTCAAGAGACCGAGTGAAGTCTTGGACACGTCGAAATCCTCTCCTATCCTCGGGAGCACCCCGCTCACCAACCTGCAGTCAGACTTTAGAGGATGCCAAGAGATCAACAGGGAAAAAACATCTGAGAGAGAGCGAGAGGAATCAACACGACTAAAAGATTTGAGAGGAGTCAGGAGCTTCAGCATCTCACCCTCTGTCAATGTAGTTGAGGAGGTTGCACATGGTGAATGTCGCCACCAGCATCGTCGGCCCCATCTCGAACGAGACCGTCGCCCCTCCTCCTCCTCCTCTAAGAGCTTCTTTCGAGCTCAGGGGAGGGACGAACTCTACGGCACCTGCATTAAGCTATCTTTCAACTCTATATACAGAAGCCGGAAACACATCACCTTCTACGGCATCTTCCTCCTTCCTCCAACAACTCCGTGTGGGAACGCGCGCACCTGCCAATCACCCTGACGACAAGGACGCTGACACTCATTGGCACCTGCTTGCGGCATGTTTTTGAGGGGAGCACTCAGGATATGGCGGCCATATCGCATGTCCTCTCTTGCCACCAGCCCCTCTGCTACCATGACGTCGGCGAGCAACACTGTGGTCAGAATCCCCCATGCTCGCATGGTGCGGTAAAACCTCATACTGTCTGATTCATCAGTTACGCACACCTTGAACTGCCCCTGACTTGGACTATTGAGCTCATCCTGAGGCGGACTTGTTTTTACCTAGGATCTCCCGGGGTTCCCTCACAGTGAGTGGGCCCGGGAATCAAGTCACTGTCAAGTTGAATCGCCCGAGCCCGGAGTCCGGAGCAGCCTACCAACACTTCGCGGCCGGACCTGATCTTTGAAAAAGGTTCTTATCAATACGGTCTCAGGCCCTTGCAAGGGCTATCGTCAGTGACTGAACATGGTGGGCCGGCGGCCCCGGGCGCCGGGCCCCGGGCGCCGCGAACAATCGGAGTGACTGACCGACAGTGTGTCGCTCACTGAGTATGTAACTCGCGGCCGCGCCGCCGGGCCCGGCCGGGGGCTCATATCCGCCGCCGTTGAATCATGGACCGGGTTGGTGAGTACCGGGCCTGCATGGTAAGTTCAACGGTTCAGGCTTACTGACAGTCACTGAGAGAAGAATTTAGCTCTCCGGCGGGCCACTTCAAGGCTTGGACCAAGCATTGAAGCGGACCAAGCCGCCTTGAAGCACAGTCATGATCGGATGATGGATCGACTCCCGCCGCAGTGACTGCGTCCGGGAAGTGGCCCCGGCGTGGCACTAGGCTTCAATCACAGTGTTCACGGTCATAGAACTGCTTGAAGCCTCCCGGGGCCGGCCCAACTTGCGGCACTGAGTCACTCGCCCGTAGGCTTGCCATTCGGATTCCCGGCGGCCGAGGCTGGCGGCCGTGATCCGACCCGGACTTTATCCAAGTCCGTGCGGCTCATTGGCTACCGTACGCTGCTCTGTTTCCGGAGAAGCCTGCAGTTTCTCTTTCTGAAGCAGATTTACCCTTCTTCCAAGCTGCTTCATCCTTTCCGAAGTTCTGACCGGCCAAGCCTCTCTCACTGAGAGTCAGCGAATGTCACTGGGGGCTTCCAGGCTGTCACTGTTCACAATCGGATCATTTCCGGAAGTTCAGTACCACCTTGATCTCAGGCTGATTCTACCTCCTGGATCTCAGGCTTGCCGCAGTCAGTGCCGAGTCTACCAGAACCACTGCGACCGGCCCTGAGTGCGGCACGCACTGGGCCGGGGCCCAGTCCGATGATCACGACGGCCCGGCGCCGGCCCGCCGCCCGGCCGCCCGGCGGCCCGGCGGCCCGGAATGTAACTAATTCTATCCGTAGTAGCCGTTAGGAGGGGGTCCTGGTTTTAACTCCTTACAACGGGTTCAAAAAACATTTTAAAAACAATCTCCCCTCAATCTCCTCTTGTAAGCTCAACCGACTCTCTTATTGAGCTGACAGGGAAACAATCGAAAGGATTCCCGAAGGCTTCGAAGCGTCGCAGAGGGGGCCATGCGAAGAACAGAGAAGCATCGAAGGGGGTCAAGCGACCAACTAGAAGGGGGTAGAATGGTGTATCTAACCTTCTTCCTCTTAACAACCCTCCTTTTGTACACGGTAACACCCGGTTTGCAAAGGCTTCATCACCACCCTACCACCCCTCCACCACCACCCTATCTTTATGACCACAACTGTGGCAACCCTTCCCAAAAAACCAATCTCTTCTTAGGAGATCATTCAGGAGATCTTACGAGATACCCTTAAGCATGTCATCGATTCTTGACTACCCCACCCCCCGATCCCTTGATCCCACCCCCTGGCGTTATGTCCTTTCTTCAGGATCAACAAGCGAAGCACAGTAGCCTTCTGGCTGGCAAGAATTATCGAATGTGATCTCGAGTGATAATGCACATCCCACTACAGTCCCCCTTTGCAACCCCACCCTCACCGACTCCGATGCGACCCATAACCACCTATTCGACTGCGTGAGAACCCAGCCTCCTCTTTACTCGATCTCCGACAAGTACCCACCCTTCTGAACTCAATTCATTTCTGTATGATCTCACTTTCGATCCCATACATCGTTTCTTATTATCGCAGCTATAAAATCTACGCTCATTGGTGACCCTAGAGTTGATCTTTGCAGTCCTAGCTACAGCCACCCCTTTGTTTAAACGATCTCAAAGGAGATACCGATCTCATATTCGAGATCTTCGTCCGACTGGTCTAGATGTTTTTGTTTTTTGAGAACAACCTCACTTTCGAAGCTTCTGGCGCCGGATTCCCAGGGGCGCAATGTACTGGAATGTCAGCAACCCTCCTTTGTGAGCCAAACGTTGCATGTTTTTCTATTTCCGTACTCTTCCGAAAGATCTAGAAAGATTCCTACCCCTGGGGAAACAAAAGGACCTGTCGGGGAGACCCGCCGAGGACGATCTCTCAGAACCACGCTATGGTGGTAGTAGATGTGCAGAACAGCATTATGACAGATAGGGAGGGAAATGTTTTGGAAGATCTAGATGACACCTTCATGATCGATCTTGGTTTCCCAACCAGCATGTGGCCGATTTGCGAGAATTCAGAAGATCAATCGTTCGATTTCGAAGGGTGCATGAAGCAATCGCTCAAGTCGCTGCAGCTTTCCTCAACTATTTTGGACCCGGTTCAAGATATCAAGGAATTTGAGAGGAAGATAGCCATGATATATGATAACCCAGATGAAAACCCGGACCTTGCAAGCATCAGCCAGGAAATTGAACTTGGAAAACGAAGGCGTTCACTGTCTGAACCTCTGCCAGAGGAAAATAACGTTGCGAGCAAGTGCCATAAATCTGAATTCCACAACCTCGAACCAGCGAATACTCCCTCAGAAGCAAAGTTCTCAAGCAGCTCCAGTTCTCCGAATAGCTACATTGTGCATGCACGGCGAGGGTTCTCGACTCAAACTATCGAGATAACCCTGCAAATGCTCGAAGAGAGATTTCATCTCAGCCTTGAAGCTGCGGCGAGCGAGATGGTGAGCGTCATTGTTCTTTAATACGCGATCTCTAACAAGGATCCACAGGGTATTGGGAAGTCGACCATGAAAACGATTTGCCGTACTTTCGGTATTCCGAAGTGGCCGTACACACACAAGGGCAAGAAGAGGAGGCTCGGGTCGCACCTTGAACAGGTGCATGCTGATTATGACTAGCCACTGCCGTTTTCTCACCCTTGGTTCTCAGAAGGTAGAAACTGCGTATGATGGCACCCTTCTTCCTGGCGACATCACCTATCAATACGACTTAGTCCCCAGCCAGTAGGCCGGGAGGAAGATGAGCCTCTTCACAGCACAAGCAACTTCAGCTCACAACACCACACAAGCTCGCATGCGAGACTAACACATTGCCATGTAGATTCATTGTATTCTATTCTATTAACGTTACTAATACATTGTCAAGTTGATTCAGTGTCACTGATGTGGTTTTTCAGCCCATCATGATATCCATCGAGCGCCTTATACCGTTCGCAGGGCTGTCCTCTGCACAAGAGATGTACGGGATGCCCACTTGAGCCTGGGGGCATGCAGAATGAACTGAACCCTCCACACTCGGTCCCTTGGACCTCAGAACGGAGGGGTGGCTGCAGGAAGAGAGAGGGAGTAGATTTGCCTTGCAGGGTGTGGCCACTCTTCAGAGTAGAACATACCAGGCTCCAAGCCCCAAAATCACTTGACATGATTGGTGTTGAGATGAGTCAGCAGGAGATCCAGCTTCTCAATCGATGGATCGATCTTGCTATGGACTTCATCGAACCTCCTGTCGAAGAATCTCTTCAGATCCTGCATGGCTCCAAAGATATCCCTGTGCGGAGTGTACATACAAAAGAACGGTACGCTGACAGGTTCCACCATCGGTGCCAAACCATACTCAGCGGCAGAAGCCAGAGAGAAGAACTCCCTCATACACAAACTGACTATCTCAAACTCCTCTCTGTTGCAGCTCATCAACAAGCCCACAAAGACCATCCCTGGCTTCCCCGCGATCTCAAAGCAGATGTGCTCCCTCTCCATGGTCGATCACATCCTTGAAGATGGTTTCGAAATGTTTCGGTGAAAATTTCAAATCATGATAGAAAAATTCCAAATGTTTACATTTTCCACACTAGAAGGCCCCAGGATTGCAAGCTCGCCTCGGCTGTACTCACAAAAGAATTTCGCCGCCTCTCATGGTAGATTACAGCAAGTGGAGCGACAAGGTAAAGAGGGAGGAGAGGGAGCGGATGAAAGAGATCTAGAAGAAGAGAGAAGGATATGCCGATTAGAAGGAAGCGATGGCTCATTGGCTACGGTGCAGGCCCTCGACGAACTTCTCCATGATAGCGATGAAGAGCGTATGGATCAACCACAAGGAAGAAGTAAGGTGAACATAGCAGCGCCACATTTCCTCCAGATTGAGGTGTCGAGCTCACAATGAATCATTTCCACCAGCATGTGGATGCTACGTCTGCTTCCTCCCAAGGCAAGGCGACGCCTTCGAAGCAAACGCAGTAGGACTCTGCCCATTTGTTCATAATCCCTGATCAATCTTTCCAGATCGCGTCAGGAGGCGGTCACAGTAGAGAGGAAACCGGTCACAGATGTATGTAAGTGAAACATAGTTGTGAACTTCTGAAGATTCGTGGCAGGAAGAGGCCGAAGAAGTGGACAGCCTGTCTCTCTCTTCGCTCTTCGCCAAAGTACAGGTAGCATTTCCTTCGTATGATTGAGAGGTCAACTCAGCCTTTTCACCCTTGTGCAGGCCCTGTATCAGCGCAGTCAGGTCCCAGGAGGAGGCAGAAAGGGGTTGTGCTTCGTAAGGCTGACGTTTGTTGTCAGGACTGCAGCCCGAAAGAGAAGGAGGAGGTGATAGAAAGAGCTCTGTTTTACTCGAGGTCTCGTTTGATCCTAGGAGCCACTTGCTCTTACTTTCCGCAGCCGAGCCATGGACGTGCTGGAGAGGGCAGGGATCTTCTCAGAGAATGAGACCATCCAGGATGTGAACACACCAGGTGATCTTCTCCTCCTCCTCCTCCTCCATCTCACCGCTTCCGCTTCTTGTGCTGATCTCGACCTGGACTGCAGACATGAGATTCCTGATGATCCCATACTTCCATGCCATGCTGCTTGCCAACTGCAGTGACTTGTCGATCCGTCGAGATCGGTGCTGTCTCCTCTTCAGCTGCTGCCTGAGTTGTGCTCCGTCCTCTCCTGACACTTTCGTCCCCTGCCGCATCGCTTGCCCGTCTGCAGCCTCGACAAGTCATGCGAGACGATAAGGAGGTTCCTCAAGCTTTGCACGGACCTTGAGGTCCTTCAGGACCCTACTTTTGTCTCCGGTTGCAGGTGGAGACTGAGGAGGAGGAGAAGGAGGAGGGGACGAGGAGAAAGGGGGCAAAGGAAGAGGAGCGGGAGGAGGGGAGGGAGGAGAAGGGATAAGGGGTGATTGGGTGGTGCTGCAGGCGCATCATTGACGATGTCAAGTCTCCTCCTGCGGACGCAAACCACCTCCGAGCTGAGAGAATAGCGCGGCACCGGAGGGAGAAGGAGCTACGGGAGAAGCTGGAGTCGCTTCCTCAGACGCAAATGAAGAATGAGAGCGATACGGTAGACGTGGAGCTCAACAGGGAGAGGCTGTTGTTGGAAGTGGAGGAGGTGAAGTATCCAGCTGCGAGCAGCATTTATGAGAACTGACTTCAATGCTTCCTCAGGCGATATTGAAGTCGATGAACGAGATCTCGTTGTTCGAGCAAGTCAGTACTGTCCTTCGCTTCCTTGCTCTCCTTCCCCAGCCCCTGGCGTAGTGACACGACTTTCTCTAGGAGAAAGAACTTCTAGGTTTTCGTTCTTCAATGCCCAATCCTACAGGTTCTTCCCCACCGTGTCCTTTCCGCCCCCGTCACCCCTCTCCCCGCCGCTCTTTCTCCTCCTCCTCCTCTCCCCTCCTTCTCAGCCGCTTCCGTTCCAGGACCGCCAGTCGCTCGCCCCGCAAATTCAAAGGATGCTGGGAAGATCAAGACTGTTCATATTCCCAAGAAAGAAAACGTTTGCTGCTTGTTTCCCTCTCGACTTGCACTCAAATGGTCCAACAGACTGCGGGGAGCGAGAAGCTCTTGCGCGCAGGAAGGGTGATATCTGATCCTCTTTCCTCTCTACTCGTTCTTGTCCGCTGCTTTGATTTGCTTTTGATGTGTCAACGTCCCTCCTTCTCAACCCCTCCCCCTTCCAATCCCAATCCCCCTTTCTCCCCCCTTCTCTCTCTCTCTATCCCTTCCCCACTCCCCCCCCTGCCCATCTCCCCTCTCCTCTCCCCGCCTTCTTTCTCCATCTTTCTTTCTTAGTCTCAGTCTAACTCAATTTGACTCTGCAAGGTCCCCGTTGTTGGGAGTGAATACGAGAAACGTGAGGCAATTCGGCAGGTTCCAGGACTCTAAACTAATCTTACTCCAAACTAATCTTGTCTTCTCCCCACATTCTCCACAGAATGTCTTCTGCAACCCGAACCCTGCCACAATGACAGTCCAGGCAAAGCTCGTGCGCCTTCCTGCATCGAGGTGTTGACGTTGATCATAGGAGTGGGGAGAGATTGAAATGCAGCGAATGAAGGAGCAGCAGGAGCAGCAGGTTGTGTCGAATTCTAAGAAGTGCCTTGCTTTCTGAACTTGTTCTCATCAAGGCCAAGAGAAAGGAGGAAATGGATGAGGAGGAGTCAAGATTGACAGAAGAGGAGGTGAGGTCCTTTGAGCCTGGTTCCAAGATGACCTGTACAGCAGAAGGAGGAGCGTGAGAGGAGGAAGAAATCTTCTTGGGACGACTACAAGGACGTGAACCCCCGTGGAGCAGGCAACAAGGGAGACCATTACTTCAAGAGGTAGACTATCATACAATCTTTAATACACTACAAGCATAAACTTGACACTTCACTCTCATCACTCTGTTCACATCTTCACACTTCCCGGGGCGGCCGAGCGCTCAGTAGGCGTTGTAGCACATGTTGACCCGGTAGCTGCTGAGAAAGCTCCGGTCCACATAGGATGCGTTGTTGGTCCTCCTCTTCTTTCCCTTGTTTGTGTACGGCCACTTTGGAACACCGAGCCTTCTGCACACATGCTTCATGGTTGATCTTCCGATACCCTGAGCAGAGCTTGTCAGCAAGGGTGGCGATCGCTAATCAGGTAAGTCTTACCAGGTGGGATGCCGCGGTCTCCATGCTCTCATGGAAGTGCTTCTGGAGATCCTCGATGGTTATCCTCACGAGCTGCCCGTTGTTGTTCTCTCCACCCTTCCTGGCGTTGATCAACACGGTCTTGCATGAAGACTCCTTCTGTGCTGGGTGGGCTGACTCGGAGCATGCTGATGTCTCCTCCTCGAGCGCGGGGCTGAGAGGCTCTGCAGGAGATGCACTGACCGATGTCGTGTCGGATACGGCAGAGGAAAAGTTGTCTCCTGGGAACGCCTGCATGAACCAGTCGTCCTCGTAAAGTGGGGGTAGCGATTCTTGGTCGACCAGCTCCAGGAAAGGGTCTACCTGAGAGCTTTCGAACTCATCAAGCTGGGGGAGCGACTCCCAGCATGCCTCGTCTGGAAGATCTTGGGGTGCGTGGACTTCAAGAGGGAACGAAGCGAACTCGCATGATCCACAGGAGAAAAGGGGGAAGGATGTCATTTGATTGACTTGTAGAAGAGGGGCAAAGAAATGTATGAGGCAAAGGTTGGTGAGGAAGGGTAAACTGATGAGTGGAGCAAAGTAGATACTTCTGGTTGTTTGTTCTTTGATCGAAAGGGAGGAGGAAAAGGTGTGCGTGGGTTGCTGTGTGAAGGAGTGGGAACCGACGATGATATAGGGTGGGGAGGGGGGGGCGGAGGCAGCGGATGAAGATCGATGAAGCGTCGCGGTTTCCAGACAAAACCATTGATTGGTCGCACGTCATCAACATGCGACCTTGAGTGATTACTACACGATAGGTAAAGGTCGCTCTTTACCGAATGTCGAATCGACTTGTTTTTGAGCTAGATATACTTGTAATGTTGTATCTCCTCCAAAGCAGAGCGTTGCACTTTTGGGTCCTTTGAGAGAATATCTCTACCTACGGTCATCGACCCGTTCAAACTTGAGTGAATCCATCCGTTTTGTGGTCTAGAATACCGGCGATGTTCTTCCCGTGACCCAAACCCCTTTATATGTTTTTTTACAACATGATCCTGTGACCTGTATCAACGAAAAAGATATATTTCGATAATACAAGAAACATGATCGACTGCCAGTCACGCCATGGGCCATACACGGACGCTCCGAAAAAAAAGGTTGCTGACACGGAGATAGATCGGGGCAAAGGGCCAGATAAACCAATGCACGCTACCGACATCTCTTAATCGCAACGCATCGGATGGGTACGAGGTGGCATGCGGGGGGCACAAGCGCTAGTTTGCTCCTGGGCAACTTGGAGTAAAACTGGTCTCCTGACTCCGACTAGGACGATCTGGGTATGAGCCAACTCGCAACGTCTTGACTGTGACCCCCTCGGCCCTTGCACGCCCAGGGCCCGGGTAGAACCCGGTGGTCCCAAGGCTTCGGAACTCGAAAAGCTGCCCTCAGATCAGTCGCGTACCCCCGAGTCATCGGCTGCGTTGTAAAGTGGCCGTCATTTTGCCGATACGTATCATCGGCGTGACTGGGCCGCCGGGGGGGGGCGGGCGGGGGGGGGACCGGTCCGACCTTTAGCCTACTACGGCCGCTAGCCTAGTAGGAGTCAGTCAGCAAAGTTGGCAACATGCCTGATGGTCCCATGACTCAATCAGTTGTGACTCTCAGGGCCACGTCTGGCCCTTTGTTACCGCACGGTACCCGACGTCCGTTACGGTTCAACCGTTCCAAAAGCGCGGACCGTTCACGGTTGAAACTCGGAAACCGTTCCGAAGTTCCGAACTTGAAGTTTTGATCAAGTTTGACTCTCACTCCGCGGGTGACTCAGCCCCCGCGGCGGCGCGGCCAACCGAACTTCGGAATGCCGGGTGGGCGCGCCGGGCCGCCCGCCCGGTAGTGAGTAAACTTCGTGACAGCGGCGGCCGCCAAGAAGCCTGACGGACGGACCGTACCGTTCAATGTTAACCGTTGCCGGTTGAACGGTACTAGGCTCGGTATACGGCGTGAGTAAAAGCCGCCGACCGTCTGAAGGCGCGGCGGCCAGGCCGCGGCCCGTGCGGCGGAGGTGGGGGCCCGAGGGAGTCACGGTCCCGGCGGGCTGAGTGCGGTTGCCGCAGTGCCGCATACATCATCCGAGGGTCCCCGAGTCTCAACGGTTCAACAATCATTACTGAGAGAAAGACATAATATAGCGCGTTGTTGGTACTAAAAAGACCGCCAGCGGCCGCCATCCTTCCGGCGATCATCGGATGACCCAATCATTCAATCGGATTTCGAGTCGCAGCCCGGGCCTCGCCGCGTGACTCAGCCGGGCCGCTGTGATTGCTAGTCGGAGTCACTGAAGGAGATGTCTGGTGCTCCGCCGATCTCACCTGCTGTTTCATTCAAGTAGCGTCAGTCAGCTCAGCGCTCGCACGTCCTGGATGATGGTCCTCTGTGCAAAATCCTCGACGCTGGCAGCTGCGTGCCTTGCCACAGCTGCCTTCCAGTGCTGCTGACGAGTCGAAGATGCCAGGTAAGACATCACAGGACGACGATGCTCACGTATCCCTGGAAGGGCAGGCAGGCGAGTCAGAGGAAGGGGCAGACTCGGAGTAGCTGCCGAGACCTGCTAGGTGCGGCTCAGTCTTCCACTGGTCGTTCTTGCTCAAAGTGCGGGAGGTGCTGTACGAGGCATCCAGCTGCTCCCCTGTCTTCATGCCCTGCTGCTTTCGCGGTGCAATGCTGCTGCGCAGCGACGGCTCACAGGAGGCAGGCCTTGAACGAGGGGTCAGACGGGGACGAGGAAGAGAGGAGGGAGGAGTATGACTGGCAGCCCCTCACCTCGAGAGTTTGTCGGCAACGATTGTCGATTCCGACGGCTCCCATGCGACGTGCTGAAGTAGGGCGCGACTTTGAGGCCTTGGCGGCAGGAAAGTCTTATCTAATGCTTCCTCCTGCTTGTGCGCCCAGTCTGCAGACTTGACCTCGTCCTGCTAGAATTCTCAGGGTCGAGGAATTGCTACAAGCTTGCGAGCACTTCCACCTGCTGATTATCCTCCATCATCTCAGCCGCGGGTTCCAACTCAAGGCATGTCGAGGGCTCGGCCCTCTCCCCGCTGCTCTCGAGAGTCGAGGCTGTCTTGGGCCTTTGTGCCTCTCGCTTAATCTCCTCCTGTCTGCGCTCCAATGCCTCGCTCAGCTTCGCTCTTGTTCGCGAGTATGCCTGGCAGAAACAGGAATCAGCCAAAGAGCAAAATGATGATGGCTTGACTTTACATGCGGCAGTGATGTTCCGCTTAAGCCTGCCTTGGAGTATTCAACTTCTCCGATGTACTCGATGCTGCGCTCCTCGGCCCTTGAATCATCTACCACGATAGTGAAACAGCGTACATAGCGGCTGATGCTGGGACCGAAAGCTAAATTCTTTCTCCGGCCAACTTCAAGAATTGAGGGGACAAAGTCGAAACCTTGAGACACTTTGTACCTGTCAAGCCGACAGGAAGACTTGTCACATTCTCGCTTCCTCATTTGTCTATGAAAGAAACGAACGACTCACTTGGGAGAGAGGGGGGCATTCCCTTCCCTAACAAACCGTGTGGGTCTGACACCATAAAGCCTCAAACCTCCGCTGAGCTCCAAGGGATCAAGTCCAGAACTATCAAGCCAGTCCCTTGTTCTCATTATCATCCGTTTCTTTGCATGCCTGTCGTCCACGATCTTCACATCTTGGAAGTGACGAGCGATTGGAGGCCGTTGCTTCCTCCTTCCCTTATCATCGGCTTCTGCCGCCAAGGTCGCCAGCAGTTTTGTTCGCCTCTCGCACTTCTTGCCGAGCTCTTCAAACTTGCTGCTCCTGTCCAGCCCTGCCCAATCTCTGTCAACATAACTTTTCACATACATTGCAATGTCTCACCACCATGGGAGCTTGGCATGGGATAGTGCGGCCTCAGGGGGTTGGTAGACCTTGAGCTTGCTGTTGTCAGCGTGCCCATATTCTGCGCAACATTGGTAGACCTTGCAAGGATTTTAGTTAAGCTGCAGGCTGAATGAGGGAGCTAGTCACCGGTGGAAAGTGCAGATATCCCCACCAGTTCCAGTACAACATCCTTCGATGTCGTGGGTCTCAAGTGACCTGTTCATCCACAACTGTTGCAACCATATCAGGGGAGGAGCGAGCGGGAGCGGCGAAGCTTGCAAACTGCTGACCTCAGGCTTGTTGATCTCCTTGGCTGTCTTGGGCCTGGCCCCGTCGATCATCGTTGTGTCTCCGCTCATGTTGCTTCTGATCGGGAATCGGAACCTTACGGGGGCTCATCAGGTCTCTTTGTTCGCAAGGGCGTTCGCAGCGATAGCATCTCACAGCTTTCGAGGTTTCGATCCGTCGATCGAGTCTGTCGTCAGTGATGATGACAGGGGCCTGTTTGTATACCTGCGGCATCAAGACAGTCAGAGGGTCATCGCACAACCTATCCAGGCTGAAGCTCATCATGAACACCTGTACAGTGGGCGAGAACTGCTCCCATCCACCTGCTCCTTCCAGTTCGACATTGCTCCCGCCGTCGTGCAGTCCGATCACCGTCACAGGCTTTCACTGGCGCGGCTCACTGAGTCAGTTGAGACTCTGTCGACGGTCGCCGGTCGCCGCTTCAATGATTGCTGCACAGCAGTTCACTGCCGACTGTCAACTCCTCACTGAGTCACGAGTCTCCAAGTTCCATCGCCATCGCCCTCACCGCCGCCGCCATGAGGTCTGTTCCGTTACCGTTGCTCGAGTCGACATGGCCCCGGCGACCTGAGTGTTGATAAGAGTGGTCAACTGACAACTCAGGGTCAAACTTGAAAATGGAGTTTTGATCATGAAACTTGAAATAATTTGAGTTTATTTCGAAGATATAGCTCTGCAGTTTTGAATGTCTTTTAAGTTTCAAATTCTTTTGAGATTCATAATCTTGCGCACGATGATTGCGCGAGAAGGCGTATTCTGTCATGTATTGGTGACAAGGGGGTCATCAATATCATGTCATGTTTTTAATTGTTTTTACTAAATTTCAAATAATCAGTGTCTTGATTTGACCCCGTGAAAAAGTACCCCGTACACCATGGGGTCCATACTGTGAGCGACAAGAATGGTGATAGCAGTTGCGGCTGAGGGAAAGAGAGGTCAGACGTCGCCCAATACCACTGATATCGCCGTGTTTGCTTGAAGAACAGCAGCAGGATTGCGCACTGTTTCTGAAGAGTTTGCTATCCCTCCACCGCACATTGGTCCTCAGGAAGGCTGCGAGCGGTACTAGTCACTTCTGTGCAAGGTGAAGAACATTCTCTAGCAAGGTAGGTCTGCCAACGGGAGAGACTGAAGACTCAATTAGAAGACATTCACCTGATCTGCAGCTGTACGTTAGTTCGATCAGAAAGGATGCCGGATCGATTGAAGCGTCGAGTCCAGCATGGGTTGTCAGGTGACCGGGGTATCGAAACGGCAGGCACTTTTTGGACTTCCCATGCTATGCAGAGCTTGAATCAGTACGAGAGCATTTTAAAGGAGGTTCAAACATTGCGTACTAAATTCAGAGAACTAATGGAAGAACTAATGGAATTAGAAGCTGGACAACCACCAAACAAGCGCCGCAGGAAGCCTTCTGCGACTGCTCGTGTTGACGCTGCCAAAGGTGTGGTGAGTAGCGATTTGGAAAAGGGGAATCGGCCACACGATTTTGAAAAGGGGAATCGGCCACAAAGAAGTGAGCGAGCTTCAACAAACGAGAGCGAGACTCGCCGGGTACTTGAGTCCATTGAAATGAAGATGGATACCATGCTTGGTAAGCTTGAAAGCATGAACCGAAGAATGTACGCACAAGAGAATGCTCCAAGACCTACGATGTACGCACAAGAGAATGCTCCAAGATCTACGATGTACGCACAAGAGAATGCTCCAAGACCTACGATGTACGCACAAGAGAATGCTCCAAGACCTACGATGTACGCACAAGAGAATGCTCCAAGATCTACGATGTACGCACAAGAGAATGCTCCAAGATCTACGATGTACGCACAAGAGAATGCTCCAAGACCTACGATGTACGCACAAGAGAATGCTCCAAGACCTACGATGTACGCACAAGAGAATGCTCCAAGATCTACGATGTACGCACAAGAGAATGCTCCAAGACCTACGATGTACGCACAAGAGAATGCTCCAAGATCTTCCGAGCCTTGTAAGAGACTTGAATGTGCAATGACCCGGTTTAGTGGATCTGCAAATGGTGTACATGAAATGGAGGTCCGGGGCAGTCCACATAGGGAAGTTCAAGATATGAGTGGAGTCGCATTCAGCCCAACAGAGAACTTCCGTTTCAACGTCACAAAACACCTTGGAACGTGGGAGAATGCATGGATTGCATGGCACTTTGGTGACACAGTGAAGAAACACCCCCCTTTAAAGAAATTGAGCAGGGCACACATGGAATCCGAACAGGAAGCGAGGAGATATAGCGACTATAGCATTCTTGTGGAAACGTTTGAAAGGTTCGTGATGAGGGAAATAAGCCAATCAGAGGAGAGGGGTGCAAAGCTTGATCGATGGCGAAATTTTGTCTCAGGGCCAACACTGCCTGAAGCACAACATTGGTTCAAAATGTATGACCCCGGCTTTTTCAAATTGCTGAGTTGTAAGTCGAAGTCACGAAGCAGAAGGCAGGGACAATTGAAGTGGACAAGTTATGTCAGGAGAATGCGAGAATGGAAGAAGAGTGAGATGAATGCATTTCTAAAAAGTTTATCATTAGTGTGATGGATCGGAAAAAGTTGAGAAAGACAATCAAAGAGTACTGGAAAGAAAGATAATCAAACAGCACTGGGATCATCCGCAGAAGCTGAAGGCGTTTTCAACATGTACTAGTGCGGGAGCGAGCTAGTTTCTAGTTTTATAGCAAAACAATAAAGATTATTGAAAATTTATAGCAAAACAATACAAATGACAATTCTGACGAACGTACTGCTGGGGGATGTGGTCCCAACGCGACCCCTCGGGACTTGCATGGTAGCGATGGGAAGAGGTGGAGATGGCAAGGACGGATACTTCGATGACACCGCAGAGAGGTCGGGAGGAGCAGGAGGAGCAGGAGGAGCAGGAGGAGCAGGAGATCGCGTCAACCCCTTTCTGCAGATGCCGAGCTGGGATGTGATCAAGAGGACCACACGAGCCTTCGGAGGAGAGGAAAGGACTGCATTCCCCGAGCTGTTTTCATCCTCGAAGAGGGGGAAGGGCTTGACCGTGCTGGAATATGGGCCGAAGTCCATATCCTACCTGAACAAAGTACAGCTCGAAATTGTGGAGCAGGAGAAGGAGGAAGATGATATGACTGTAAATCTTTGCAAGCAGCTAAGAACCACCAATCCTGTTAACGCCATCGATCCCCTCAACGACGGCAGCACTCCTCTGGACATCTTTCTCAAGCAGCCCCCTCCTCCGGAGCCAACAGAAGATCAGGCCAAGGAAAGGACGCGAAGGAAGACTTACGACTACATTGGGACCTTGTCAAAAGTAGAGCAGCCTGCTGAAGACCTGACGGACTTTATCAAGAGGTCCATTTTCGTTCAGGAGCGGCGCACGTCCACCGAGGAGGTCAGAGGAGATCAGAGACAGCAGCAACAAACAGCCCCTCCTAAGGCTCCCGATGCTACCCAGGGCGAGACCGCGGTCGCCCCTCCCACGATGATGCGGGAGGTCAACGAACCACCAAAGGCAGCGAGCAGGATTGTACCAAGGGAGGAGACTGCTCCCTTCGACATCAACGAGTGGATCAGGGGATCTGTCTTCAACACGACCAAGTCCGGGGCTAGGCGAGCCCCCAAGGAAACTGAGGAGCCTCTGGCCGCAGCAAGGTGGGTCTGCGGTGAGGTGGTAGACAGTCTTCCTGACTTTGCTGTGCAGGACGCGAGGGCCTTCTGACTTTGCTGCTGATAATCCTAGCAAGCTCTCTGCAACCTTCACTCTCCCTTTGCAGACGCAACCGACGCAACATGCACCGCAGACGCAGCAGCCGCAACGGACGCAACAGGGGACCCCGCCGCCTGGCAGCCTAGCCGTGCAGGTGCTCGACCTTGTTGTGGATTGGCGTGCGTAACCCTTGCAGCAGCAGCAAGTGAGGTACATAGCCGATGGCGGTATGTTCATTGAAAACCAGTCGAATATCCTTCACCTGCATGCTACCTCAAGTGGAAGGTCGAGAGAAATTCATCCCTCCCCCGCCCTCTCCTCTGTCCTCCCTCCCTCCACTCCACTCCTTTCTTCCCTTCCCTTCTTTCCCTTCCTCCCTCCCTACCTCGTGTGTTCCTCTTGCTTACTTGTCATCTTTCAGAGATTCCTCCGTTTGCATCCAATCCTGCAACTCCAGCATCGACGGAAACATCCTGTCGCATCTTCATATCCATGGGCCTTGTCGCGAACTGATCATACGAAACTGCCAGGTTACAATTCATCTCGGACATTATTGTCACTAAAGCATGTCTGCAGAGAATCGTCGTCTTGCTAGATCAAGTCTGTCAGGGCGCTCAGGTCAGCTGTTGTGTTTATCAACCGCCTGCAACTGCTCTGATTGTGGGTATCTTCCTCCAGATTGTCGACAGCGACAACGTCAGAATCTCCTTTGCTGGAAGTCTCCCCCCGCACATCAACCTTCTCAAGTCACCGAACAGCATCCTGCACTCTGTCAAGGAGCTGAGTAACAGCAAAGTTCAGACTAGCGCTTGCCCAGCCAGCGGTTTCATCCTGGTGTCCAAGTTGCCCAATAAGGAGCTCGATCCAGAAGAAATTCTCGTCTCCCCGACTCACTCGCAGGTCATCCTCCCCGAGAACAGCTACAAGGAGCTGGTGCAAGGAGTTCTCCAGGATGTGGCGGTTGACGAGGACAAGTTGGAGGCTGATTTCCAGGCTCTTGCGCTTAAACAAAGTCCCAAGACTCCTGCACAAGCTCCGGAACAGAAAAGCTCTCCGCAGAGAACCTCTCCCCAGCAGGGAAGCTCTCCCCAGCAGAGAACCTCTCCTTTCACGCCGAAGCTCTCGTCAAGGTCAGACGCCGTGAAGGGCAGTGCCTTGACTTTGTGCTTCACGATTGCCGAAGACTTCTACTCGTTGGAGAACGATGTCAAGTTGAAGTCTGCGTTCTTCGATCAGTTCCGTCGAGACCTTGCCTTCTCTCTCCACACGACTCCAGATCGCTTTGAGGTGACATCCTTGCTTCCCAACGAGCTCTCCATCTATTGCGAAGTGCTCCCCGACACATCGGGCAAGGATCCTCGAAGCCCGCAGCAGCTCGGAGCTCAGATCATCGCCATGTCTCGGGACAAGAACTCGTTCCTGCGCAGCACGACGTCCATGAAGAAGCTCGTCAAGGTAGAGAACCCTGAAGGAATCATCTTCGCCGGGCCAGCTCCAAGCGAGCACGTGTCTGGTGGCGTCGATTCCAACGTGACTGATCTGGGCTTCGTCCTTGACGCTTGCAAGGGCCCCGAAGATTACCCCGTCGTGAAGGACATTGTCAGCTCGGGCCCAGCTGCAGCGGAGGGAAGCTTGGCTGTTGGGGATGTGGTGTTGTCAATGGACGGGACCTCGTGTCAAGGCAAGGACGGCGACGAGCTGAACGAGCTCATGTCTGGCCTACCAGGGACGTCCATCGGAATCCGAGCGAGAGATACAGACGGGAAGATCAAGTCGCTGGTGCTGGAGCGACAGGGGCTGCCCTGGGAGACAAACAAGAAGTTGGCTGCGGCTGCAGGATTGATCGCCGACTCTTTCAAGAGCCCCGCCTACAAGACAAGGAAGGCGGGACAGTCAACGCCCAGGACGGGACAGACTTACCAAAAGGTCTCTTCGGAACCTCCCAGGAACGAGCGGGCCCCCTCCCCTCCTCTTTTGCTCGAAGGTGACGTAAGCAGGATTTCTTCCCCACAGACTCGACTGTCCACCCCCCCGGACAGCAGCATCTTCACCTCCAGCCCTCGCAGCATCCTCAGCCCTGTCAGTCAGGCCGACGTGAGCTTGAATGCCCCCTACAGCTACAGCTTGCCACCTTCGAAAGAAGCGCCCACCTCATTCCCAGCTGTGCGGCAGAGGCTGTCGAGTCCTCCCCCCTCCAAGGAGGCTCAGCTCATGATGCAGCCCAAGTTCAACGCCATCCGGCCGGCTCCTGCCCCGGGCCCAAGTCAGCCCCGTGTGCGGGTCACGGTGACCTCGGCCCGCAACCTTCCGGTCACTGAGAAGTATGGCCTCTGCTCCTCCTACGTCATCATGGCGATCGGCAACCAGTTCCACAAGACGGGCATCATGGACAAGAGCCTGGACCCAATATGGAACCAGACCTTCGAGTTCGCCGTGCAGCCCGCGCTCATGCAAGGCCTGCTCATGACGCTGACTGTGGAGGACAAGAGCGCTCTGATCCGTGACGAGCCCATAGGGCAGCTGTCAATTCCGCTGCTCCAGCTCATGATGAAGAAGAAGTGGGAAGGATGGTTTGACCTCAGGACCCTCCGGCCCATACAGGAGACTGGCAGTGGCGTCGCTGGCGTGTTTCTCAGTCTGGTGTTCCTGCCAGAAAACGTCACGTCCACCTAATTGTGACTGCTCAGCATCTTCAGAGTAGACTGAGAGTACTCCCCTTCTTCTCAGACTTGTAATTTCACCGTCGTAAATTTTTCTGGGGCTACTGAACCTTCTTTACTCAGAGTTAACTGAACACTCTCATACTCAGCCTGTGTCCTCCGCCGTCTCCCGTCCACGGCACTCCGGCCCGGGCCGGGCAGCGGCCCGGTTAGTTCCGCGCGATCGTTCCGTGACGGCCCGGCCAGTTGACTCGGGCCGCCGTCCGCGGTCCGGAGACCCCCTCATCCCCGCACTTATGGCAATCCTGGCGGCAATCCTGGCGGCAATGGCATGAGGACGCAACGTGACCATGGTGAGAGCGGAAGAAGAGAAAAGAGGGGAAGAGACCAGGATAAAGAAGAGAGGAAGGAGAGAAGGAGAGAAGGAGAGAAGGAAAGGAGAGACAGCAAGTATCAGAAAGATTCATGCTGCTAGATCGCTACCATGTGGCCTGCATGTCCTGTGACTTAAGTGTAGGATCGGACGACTTACAGCGGCCCGTTGTGGCCAGAATGTCCATGATGTGTCTGGGCATCGAAACATGAGACGGGCTTGTTAACTAAGGTGTCAAAATGGCAGTCTAGTGGACTCTTCTTCTACTTTGATCAAGCGCAATGCCGGGTTGCAAGGTTGGGCTCTTGGCAACCATCTTGATTGGGTTGCTGGGATGTACATGTCTCGAGAGGGTCTCGATGGAAACTCATGCAAACATGATCATGCTCGAGCACCACAGACGTGTCCTCCTCCTAGCCAACCATACTGTGCGATCCCTGCGAGGGGGGTCTTGGATGGACGAGGAGACCATCGAGAGGATCCGGAGAGAGAAGCTAGGAGAGAAGTACGATATTCTAGTGCACGAGAGAAAGTCTCCGTCGCCTTCTCAGTCAGCTATCGACAAGGAGGAGATGATCCATCGTGTGTTCCCGGACATGCGAGGAAGGGGTGAGTGGAGAGAGCACTGTCAGGCGACGGCCTTGATGTTGTTTGTGCAGATTACCGGGACGACGAGATGGTGTTTGAGAAAGACGGTAAGTTCAACTATCTTGCCTGCTACATGCTACCTCCTAATCTCTGATCCTGCTCTCTCCTTCGTCGCCTCCTGGCTCGAACGTTGCAGCTCAAACGCAGGTCCGTCCCTTCCCCCTCCCCTCCACCTCCTCCTGACTGTTGTGCCGAAGGCCTCAGAGCAAGGATCCCAGGCCGAGGAGTCCTCAGGGGGGGAAAGGAAGTGTGTGTTTGAGATCGGAGGGACCAGGAGGAAGAGGAAAGATTATGAACAGCTCTTGTTCTCCTCTGCCTCTATGTCGGAGGAAGCAGTGAGGGAGGAGCCTGCCCCAGTGCCAAACGAGCCCGTCGTCTCCGATCAAGATTCCAGCTTGAACGTGGACAACTACAACTTTACAGCTCCAGCGACGGTCGACGAGAGCATGGTTGTGGTCCATGAGCAGTTCGCCAGGGTCTGGGAGGACGAGGCGGTTGACAAGGCCTGGCGGCTGGCTTGCGAGGAGCCGTACGTGAAACCGAACCTGACAGGAACTGTCATCAACTTCCCCAGGGACATTGGGGCGTATCAGATAGACGTGCTCGAAGGAGGAGGAGACGTCACTCTCAACGCGGAGCAAGGGTACTTCAGGCTGCACAACTTGGTCCTTCAATTTGTCGACTCTGATTCCAACACCACGGGACGGAGCAACGAGTCGAAGTACGGGAGCTTCCACTTCTTTGCTTGCACAGAGCCGCCGGTGGTCATGCAAGAGGTGAATGTCTCCTGCAGGCTCCTCGTCACAGGGGAGCTCGGGACCTTCTACATAGGAGGGTGGTCGTTCCTGCCCGGCAGCTCGGGGAGGTGTGCGGGGGTAACGTTGCAGAACAGCGGGTCTGGCTTCAACTCCTTTATGTCCACCTTTGTGATCAATAGCGCAACGTTTGACTTTCAGCACTGCGAGGTGAGAGGAGAGGGGAACATTGTGGTGGATGTAGCCGGGAATTCGAACGTGACGTTCCTGCGCTGTGGAGTCGGAGGGTGGCCCTACTTCCATGCTGACAGGTCAGCGTCACTTGATGCTGCCCCCATTCATGCTGACGTATGTGTCAAGGTCGGCGGCTGGTGCGCTCATGCTCTCTGACACCAGCAGCTGCCGCCTCCTAGCCTGCAGCGTTGAGATGTGCGACTCCTGCGCCGTCCGGGTCTACAATCACTCGAGCATCGAGATCCTCGGCTGCACCTTCCAGCTCAACGTCTTGCACATCGCGCAGAGGCACTACTCAAGGTCCCACATCAGGTCAAATTGCCGCCCTCCACCGCCTCATCCCCCCCTGACCCGCACGTGCGCAGGCTGTGCACCTTCTACAAGCTCGGCGTCGAGGTTGTTGACCCGAGACTGCCCCGGCAGCTTCGCCCTCCGATGGATGTGGCTGCGTTCAGAATCAATGGAAAGTCAAGGATGGTCCTGGAGAGGAACACAGTCTACGGACACCTCTGGCATCTCCGGAGTGACTTCCAAGAAGTTACAATCGACCCAGCCAGGTTGTGCTGCTGTTATGAAGTCAGCATCAGTGTGTAAGCCTCCAGCAGGGTGGTGGTTGAGGTGGGGAAGGACTTGCAAGGGCCCGTCGATGACGGCGTGAACCTGGTTCAAGGAGATTACACTGACCTGATGTACATCCTCCAGTCTCTCCGCCTCCGGTTGCTGACTGGACCCCAGGGCGGATCTGCAAAACTTGAGTGCACCAGTATGGCGGAAGATGTTTGAAGCGTATCATCCGGAATATCAAGTCGCCGTCGATGGCCAAGACGAGATGGGCGTCGATGAGGGAGAGATAGTACCCGAGCTGGACCTGAACTTCGGGGAGGAGGATTCGGAGGAGGTGGAGAAACGCGCCAAGATCAAAGAAGATTTCCACAGGCGGTTAAAAGAAGGTTAGAGCTGGAAGCATGCCTTCTTGTAGTGATCGTTTCCAGTTGATGACAAGCTGTATGAGTCGTACCTCCAGTCCGGACTGACGATGGAGGAATTCGAGGAGAGAGAGCTGAGAAGACTGGAAGAGGAGGAGGCAGAAGAATACGACCAGCATCGTTCGCATTTTCTAAAGGATTCCAACGACAGGTTCAAAAAGAAATCTTCGTTTGTAAGTCTTTTCCGCTTCATACCTCTTCTCCTTGTCCCCTCTCGATTTCACTCTGCTCTCAGCAGGAGGACCGGCGATCTCAGAGCTTTCAAGGTCTTGACCGTACGGGGCGACCCTGGTCTACACGCACGAAGCCGTACCAGCCAGGTACTGCGAATGTCCAACTGGTCAAGAATTGGAGGCCAGGTACCCCTGGCGCGCTCGACCATCGCATGGGTGGCATGACGCCGGGGTTGACCCATTCCCGACCAGCTGGTATGACACCGGGTTGGGCAGCTGGAGGCATGACGCCAGGCATGGGAACTCCTGGGCAGATGCCTGGAATGACTCCGATGTGGGCATCCGCGAGAGGCGCTGCGGGAGGAATGACACCCGGAGGGATGACGCCTGGGTCCATGGCACGGCCAGGGATGACTCCAGGAGGAATGACGCCTGGAGCTGCGGCAAGAACAGGGATGACGCCAGGAAGCATGACACCAGGGTCGATAGCCCGACCAGGCATGACGCCAGGATGGCCTGGGGGCATGCGCGCTGGGGCTACGCCAGGAGCTGCGGCATGGCGACCAGGGACGCCGGGACCAGGCGAGTACGTCGGGCAGGGAGGGACGACGCCTGGGTCCATGGCACGGCCAGGGATGACGCCAGGAGGCATGACACCAGGGGCTGCGGCACGACCAGGCATGACGCCAGGATGGCCTGGGGGCATGCGCGCTGGGGCTACGCCAGGAGCTGCGGCATGGCGACCAGGGACGCCGGGACCAGGCGAGTACGTCGGGCAGGGAGGGACGACGCCTGGGTCCATGGCACGGCCAGGGATGACTCCAGGAGGGATGACACCAGGATCTGCGGCACGACCAGGCATGACGCCAGGAGTGTCTGGTTATGGATCGGGTGGATCCAGGTCAAGCCAAACCAATCAGGAGGGCAAGCCAACAAGCAGTAATGGGTCGCAACCTGGTATCATACCTGAGGTTGCCTGTAGGGTTTCAATTTACGAGTTGTCATTTGTTCAGGTACTCATAAGAATGGAACGGATCGTGAGCAGAAGGTCAGTCTGACTAAGACGAGTGTTTACCTGTACGTTGACAAGACATGCAGGGATCACACGAATAATTATTGCAACAGCATGTCGTTCTTCTATTTGTGTCTGGTTCGAAATGCTGCTGCGCTTTCAAACCTTTTTCTGTCATTTTAGCTGGGAAAGGGTGAGATTTTGCAGTGCCAGGCTCAACATACCATTTCTCTCAAATGTTTCTTGTAGTAATGAACTCTGAAGTTTGATTGTATCCTTAGAAAACACAAATGCGATGTCATTCTTTGCAACCCACAGGGTCCTACTAACCTCTTCGCAGCTTTCATCGTTTCCAGGCTCCAGATCGTACCCTTTCCCTCCTATGTCCCACATTTCAGTATTAGGAGGTATCCATGACTTGAAGCCCCACCTGCTTCCCGTATTTCCATTCTCCAGCAAAGATCGTCCCGTCTCGGGTATAGAACACTCCTTCACCATGGGCCATCCCGCTTACAAATGACCCGACGAATTTGCTCCCATTTCTTTTCATGCTGATACCGGCCCCGTGCTTCTTGCCCCCTTGCATCTGACCCACATAGAACTCCTGCAAGCCCATCAACTCTCACCAGATCATCCGGCAGACTGTTGGACCTTTCCATGCCACTCTATCTCAGCACGAGCTAGTGCACTCTGCTCTGTTGCTCTGATGCAGATGGAAAGGGTTGGCAGATCATATTTGTCATGAGGTATCTGCCACTCCGACGGTAACCCCATAGTATACTCCCACTTGACGGATGGGAGAAGGGATAGCAGTTGGTCCCTAGATGGCCAGGCCTGGGGCTCGAAGACGAAGTCTTGTTGCAGAACTCCGATCACCGGGTACTGAAAGTGATTCAACATCATGCTGAACTCAATCTGCTGCAAAATTTCATCCTTCACTTCGCTGTCTTTGATCACAAACAACAGAGACTGCAGTTGGCATTCAACGGCCTTCAGCTTCTCAAGCACCTTCAGAGCGTCTATCCATGAGCAGACGGTGTTGTCTCCATGTACAAGCAGTACCCTGTCACTTAACCTTGTGCTTGAGATCTCCAGCACCATGTCTTCAGAGTAATACAGCACCTGTAGTTGCTGAGATGTAAGGAGGAGGAGGAGGAGGAGGAGGAGCAGCAGCAGCAGCAGCAGCAGCAGCAGCAGCAGCAGCAGCAGCAGCAGCAGCAAGAGCATCTTGCCTTTCCCTGCCATTCTCTTGCTTCATACTCCGCTATTGTCTTGGAGTGCTTGAACAGGGGGATCAGGAATCCTTGCCACTTGAGCGAAACGTCATACTCCTTCACGCACATGCTTCCTCCCATGCCGCTGATGCCAGCTGTCGCAGGGCCAGCAGTCCCTCTCAATGTGCCTGCATCATGCTGCGGCCTTTCCAACGGTTGCCAGGGTCAGAACTTGCATCCTCGTCCGATGTCGAGACTAGCAGCGAGCAGAGGCTCGTCCGACCGTATGACATGCCGCTAGCTGCCAGCACTGCGGCATGACGGAGGTGATTGACCAGGGACCCGGGCACGGAACTATAGACTAGTAACTATTGTCACGTTCAAGACTCTCATCATCCGCGTCCTCCGGGGGGCGGGCCTAGGGCGGCCGCCCGGCGGCCGGGCAGCCGCTTGCCTGCCACGTGACTGACTGAGCCTCCGAACTACGTAGTAAGGACCATACCGGCGGTGCAGGCTGCGGCACCGTCCGACTCATGATCACCGTGGCGGCCGTCCGGCGGCGGCCGTCCGGCGGTCACGGACACGGTCCGCCTCCGATGATCTGAAAACTTGAACGCCCTGCACGCGGCAAGCTGAAGTTCAGGGCCGGGCGGACGAGCATCGGCCTGAGTCTGAGTTCGGAGTCGGTGACGGCGTCGGACTGCCGCCGGCTGGCTTGGCGCGGCCCGCGGCAGACCGTCTACCAGGACCGTCCGGCCCCCGGGCCCGGCGGCCCGGAAGGCACCGTACGCCGTCATCACGGGCCCGGTATGGGCCGACGGTCGGCCGATGGTCGCCGGTGGCACTGGCCGGGCCTGATCGGACGGTACCCCTAGGTGACCGCCGGCCCATACCGTACGGTACGGTTACGGCGGCAGTACGGTAAAGTTCAATTTACTAGACTGAGAATCAGGAGTCCGGGTGTACCGTGTCCAGCTTGCACTGCCCTGGTAGGCGGAGGCGGGCCTGGAGGCGGGCCCTGGAGGTTTCAGTCACATACCAACATCTGAAAGAAGGGTGATGGTCCTCAAGACAGGGGTACCTCAGAATTGTGCACGGTAATAATGTGGAGTTTAGTACTGATCTTAGGGGTAGGGGGTACAACAAGGAGGGGTAAATTATTTCAAGAAGGGGTGGGGGGTCGCTAGGGCGCTAGAAGATCCTCGTGTTCGGCCTCCATGGCTTGCAAGGGGGAAGCGGGCACGATGGCAGATGGGAAGAGTTTATGGAAGAGAAAGATGTTAGACAGACAGATCCAACGATAGATGAGAAGAATTAGATACTTGAGCACTTTCTCAACATGCACGGGATGTAGAGGCAGTGATTCAGTTCCTCGGCCCGGCTGTTTATGATTCATCTGGTTGTCTGCCAGGGTGACAGTGTAACCAGTGGATGTCACATTCATCTTGATGTTGATGATGTATTCGATTTCTGATATAGGTACAAGAAATCAGCCTAACGTAGGCCTCTTGCAGCTTCAGTCAACCCAAAGTGCAGGATTTGCTAGTTTTGCGTCCTTGCTACAAGTCGCTCGAAGCAGTCAGGATGAGAAGAAGGAACTTGAGCTCCGCTTAGATGGAACAAACTCTCAACGTGCCGTATTCTAATAACAAGTGATCCTTGATCTAACTCCCTCGAAATCTCAATGTAGGTGGATTATGAGCAGCATCAAACTGTCGCTGGCCATAGTTGGGGCGGCGTTGGGAGTCAGTGCAGCCGGAGAGGCTCCATGGGGATCCAAGACTTCGCCCGGAACAAGCAGGCGGAGCTACAGCCTTGCCATGTCAGGACCGTATGATTTCACCACGAAAGCAAGGAACACCCTGCGAGAGCAGTATGTTGAGGAGCAGCAAAGGATCTTTCCTAGGATTGAGGATATCCCGGTCCTTTCAGACATTCACGGATACTACCAGAACTGGAGGCGAGACCAAGAGAGAGAAAAGATGGCAAAAGAGGGGCGGGTGAACATGGATGCTTTTCCTGACAAAGGTGCTACCGATTGTCCCTCGGCCCTCGGTGGTGATTGAGCTGACCAGGTTGTTCGTGTGTGGGGCGGACGGCATTGTGCGGGGTCAAGATCAACGTCGACAAGGGCGGGTTCAAGTACAACGAGAAGGTTGGTCTGAGCTTCCGGCTCAACTCCGACGAGACCGTCTCTGAAGCCATCTACGTTCAAGGCGTGACCAAGTGAGAGGAGGTGGGAGAGAATGTAAGGGAGACTGAGGCCATGGCAGATGGAAAGGAAATCTTCCTCTGAACTCGCCGGGGATGTGCTTTTTCCTGAGGAGCATCCCAAATTCCGACCAGAAGGATGTGCGTGAAGTTCTGTGAGATGAGAGTCTCTGATGGGACTTGAAAGGTGATCGCCATTGAGCCCGGGCCCGAGGATAAGCGCAAGTTGCCGATGGAGCTTGCACTCCGCTTCGACAACCTCAAGTCAAACCCAAAACGATTCTCCGCAAAGTGAGTGCTGGAGCAAACTAGGCTGGATGATGGTGTTGACCTCTCTGCAGGCTCCGAGCTGAGTGTAAGGCCATGGGCTCGGCTGTCACCTCTGTCAACATCGACACGATCAAGCTCAAGATTTTGAGCTGAGCCCTGATCAGTGGCGTGTGCCGCGGCGGCCTCGTTCTACCACCTCCCAAGACTCCTAGTGCCAAAGCCTATTATTCTTCCTCCTATCATCGGTTCCGATCTCCTTCGTAAACTAGTGAAAGTTGCAAACAGTCACTAGTGGCCAGTGCCATCGTTTGAGCGCCGCCGCCACCTGACTCTGCCTTCCGCCAATGGCCCTACAACAGGGAGCTAAGCGACCGAGAGGCCTCTGAAGGTCTATCACGAGGGTACATCGAGTGGTCGGTGTCAAGACCGGACGAGATGGAAGACGACTGTCCCTATACCCTCACCTTTGACGGAAGCTGAGGCTGCACGCTCGGCTGAGGTTGTGGGATATCATAGGCATCTTTGAAGAGGTAAAGATGGGCTTGAGTGTGTGACGACTTTGATAATGTAACTTTAAGGACTCTATCGATACTTCAAGGCTGCCATAAGGCCTTGTTGAATCATAGTGCCGGACAGAGTCGCAATCATGTGATCACCGTGGGACAGTGATTCAACCGTTGAAGGCCGTATGGCAGCCTTGAACGGTATCGTCAATAGAGTCCCGGGCCGGCCGGGCCGGGCCGGCGCCCGGCCGCGGCGGCATCACTGTCATGATCCGACTCAGCGGATAATCGGGATGATCCGGGAGTCCCGGCCCTCAGGGCCCAGGCGCGGCCGCCGCGCACTGCGCACTGCACCCCGGGGGTGACTCGTAGTACTCCCGGGCCCGGGCCCCGGCGTTAGGCCCAGGCTGAGGCGCGGCTGATCATATCGGACTCAGTCACTGAGTAAGGAGTCGGAGTGCCGCGGTGACGCTCAGCCGCAGTGCCAACGAGTCAGCAGCTCATTGAGACTCCGACGCCGGGGGGGGCTGGGCCAGTGCGGCTCCGACCGTACCCGGTGACCGTCGGCGTGTCCGACACTGGCAGACTCAGAGCCTCGGGAGAGTCACCGGACGGTCCACGGTCGGACCGTACCCGGGCCGCCCCCCGGGGCCCGCGCCGGAGGCTCCGGCGGACGGTTGTCACCGTAGTCACTGCCAGTAGAGCTGAGCGCCGGACGGTGCCGTACTACCGGACGGTAGTACGGTCTCGGATCCGATCGGATCACCCCGCCGGCCCGCCGGGCGGCGGCGGCCGCTGCTGCCCGCCAGTGACAAAGTTCAAGCCGGTTCGTGAGTCCGACCGTCTGTTCACAGTATGGTGGGTACTCAATTCACACTTAAAAGGTGTAGGGGTGATCACCCCTACTACCTGATAGCTAAAGGACCCACTGAAAGGATGGTCGTGTTTAAGGTGGGGTAATTGGATCCGAGATTGTCCGGGGGTGGGTTGTTGAATCGGAGGGGTCCGGCTTTCAAGTCTAGGTTCGATGGAGCACGTAGTTCAACACTAGGGAGGTAGGGGTGTAAATTTACAGGGTAGCGACTTAAATGTGCTGGGTAGAGGGTGAATAAGAAGGGGTGATATGCTGGATTAATCGGTAGACAGTGGTATCATAGATCATTTCTTAAGTCTTCCATTAATCTAAAACTGCGATCATCGTACAAACATGGGCTATCAGCAAAATGATAGGGTGGGGGTAGTTGAATGGGGGATTACTTGGGGAGGTGGTGGAATAAAAGCACTTCATGGGTGGGTGGCCACACAATGGGGGAATAGGGTTACAAGTCACGTTACTATAGTAAGTAAAACTATTTGGGAGAATAATTATTGAGTAAATATATAAGGTACAAATGTGAGGGGGGGAAGCAGGGAAATCATCGTGAGAGTTCCTTGCGCAAATGCAGCAGCGTCGGGGAGGAGGATGGGGCCAGGAGGAGGAGGAGCAGAGCGGGAGGATAGTGACAAGGGCAAGAGCAAGAGTATAGCGTGTTGAAGAAATTCCTACATGTGCAGATACTGACTTGTCTGATCGAGAGGAGTGGAAGGGATGCGACGAGAACAATGTATTTGCTGTCAAAGTTGCTAGCTCCTGTGTTGCACGCAGCTTGAGGAAGGAAAGCGCCTCTGTACCCTTAACCCGACTTCAGAGAATGCAACTGAGCTCAACTGATGTTATCTTAGGATGCCTCCTTCAAGAAATGCGGTGCATTCCAGCCACATCTAGGGTGGTCGGATGACGGAGGTACAAAACGTATTGAGGGTGGGCGACGTCGTCATTCTCGCAGACCTTGAGACGGGTATGAATTGATTTAACACGATGCATGCACGAGCATGTCGCATTGAAACATGGCTTTCCAGGAGGTTTCATTGCAGGGGACGACGTAATCACATCAAACCTCTATGTCGAAGAGCAGGTTGAGTTCAGCGCTTCTTTCAGCCCGCACACGATCCACAGTGCAGCTTTTGTCGTTGTCCCTCGTTTTCAGGTCTCTTGTCTATATTGTTCAGGTGTTCTGCTCACGCGATGATCTGCAGTATGCAGCACTGCGAGCCATCGAGGAGTTTGTCCGTAAGATACACATACCCCTTCAAGACATGAAGAACTGGAGCGAGAGGATCGCGCGGTTGGAGAGTTGGCGGGAGAATCTGAGCCCAGAAGACTCTCTGTACAAGGAGCTCAGTCATCACATCAAAGCGTATCAAGACGAGCAGGCTACCAACGAGCTAGAGTCCAGGAGAACTGCAGGGCACCCTGTTTCTTACGGCAACGTGATCCAACTACGCCATTGCAAGAGCGGGAAGTTTCTCACACAGTCCAAGACCAGAGCCAAAGTAAACAGGCTTGCCCTGGATGTCTCCTTGAGCGAGGAAGGGAATAAGGGGTCCTGGCTGAAGATCATTCCAACAGGGCGGGCAAGGTCGGACGGAGACTATGTGCGGTACGGCGACCAGTTGCAACTCGGGAGCGTCAAGTTCTCGAATACCTTCCTGTCTGTGAGCTCGGATCAGGATCAGCGAAGAATCTCCGACATGGGCTCGATAGGGTCTGGAGGGTCGGCGGGGGATGGGCCGGGGAACTTCAGGTCGCCGGCCCACCTGTACGACAAAGTGCAGCCTTTGACTACGTTTCAATACATCGAGCCGATTATGCGAAGGCTGCACTCGACGTCTGTGGCGTATCACGAGGTAAACGCCTCTACAGACATCCACAAGTTCCAGGTAAGGCTGTTCCGAACCTGGAGCTCGAACAACCAGAAGTTGATGGAGCGCAACGACAACGACGAGGATTGCGACCAAGAGATCGAGAACGTGTACGGCCTCGACATCGTCACGTTCCGCAGGAACCGAGACGACACCGTGCTGTACGCGGATCCCATCCGAGGGGTTGTGATGTGGATGGCGAGCCCGGAAGCATCGAACCACACTGAGAGCTACGCAGTCAACGAGTTCGCCTACTGGAGGCTGAAGCCTGTGGCTGTTGACAAGTGCGGGGAAACCCTCAGAGTCAATAGCCATAGCAATCTGCTGATCCAGCACGTGGTCAGCGGGAAGTACCTCTCCTTCTCGGGCGCCACCCTCTGCCTTTCCGACGACTTCAGGTCGTCTAGCGCTGCCTGGCTGATCGCGTCCTCCTCGCCCACCGACTCCAGCAGCTCCCTGCTGAGCAATGGGGACGGGGTTTGGATCAAGAAATCAAAGACCAAGGACCAGCCAGGTGAAGAGGGGAGCGGGGGGGAGAGGAGAGGAGAGGAGAGGAGGGGAGGGGAGAGGAGAGCAGAAAAGGGGTGGGGACTGAGCTGAGGGTAACATGTTTGCATGCTCCGTAACTCATTTGCTAGAGCGATGGCTGGGCATCAAGAGGAGGGAGCCGAAGAAGCTGCCGAGCCTTGATTTCATGATGTCACACCTGGGAAAGGCCTCGCCCCCCGATCGCTCCGTGGACGAGCACGATGCCTCGCTGGACTCCAAGAGCTACAAGCCGAGCAGCAACAAGGAAGTGTCCCTGAGGAGCGGGCAGGTGCTGGACGACTCCGACATCCTGGAGCTGAGGCTCGTGGAGGAGGAGGAGATCAACGTGGTGGATCGCTCGCTAGGATGCATGGAGTTCCTTCACTTCTTCCTCGGGCTGCTGTACAGCGCTGACCCCCTCCCTGAGCTGGAGAACCAGCAGGAGGTAGAGCAGGTGATCACCCAGCACGGGCTGCGGCCGGCGATCGCATCCTTGCTGCCATTCTTCGAGATCACGGTATCCCACCTGCTCCAAATCTGCAGTGCAGAGCGGAAGAAGCCGGCGACCGTGCTGGCCAGGCAGGACCTGTTGCGGCATGTAGGGGTCCTCCAGCAGCTGATCGACATCGTTGTGGCCGTGTTCAACAGGCTGCACATGAAGCCTGACGTGATCCGCAAGCGCTTCCACTCGCTGCATCTCATCTGCAAGATGTGCTACACTGTTGTGGAGAAGGCCTGCCAGGGGAACCCGGGGAACAAGGCCGAGCTCCAGAGGAACCTTCCCCAGCTGCAGGTCCACCTGAAGGAAGACCTGACGGCGTACGCGCTCGTCCTCAATATCTACAGCGACGCGAGCGAGCTCTCAGCGATTCTAAACGACGACAGCATCTTCGAGGAGAAGGTCGACTCGTTGAGGGGGGCCAGGAGCGCTAGGACAGTGGCGCTGATGGCGAGGACTTGCCACAGTGACGGTGTTCCGATCCCTGAGAATCAGAACCGGCTAGTCTCCGTGCTGGTCGAGAACGCGCCAGACGTTATCTTCGTGATGGAGGAGGAGGAGGGATCTCTGTTTCTCAAGGACAGCAGCGACTCGAAGCTGAGCATCTGTGTGAACTCGCTCATGTCAAGGCTGGGAGAGGACGCGATGCTGGCTGCGGGGAACGAGGAGAGGAGGGAGAACGGATCCTTCAACAAGGAAGCCAGCCTGTTCTGCTACCACCTGCAGATGCTCGAGCTGCTGGCTCTACTCGTGCAGGGCAGAAACGAGTACGCGATGAAGGCCGTGCTCGCGCTTGCTCCTGCTAAGGGCCTTGAGTTCGACAGCCTGCTAGCCATTATCAAGCATCCAGGCATCCCTTACTCTTTACGTACTCGGTAGGG